TTAAACTCGAGTTTCATCCTTGGAAGTTAGAAGCCACCCCCCCACTGCCAGCGTTTACTAGTTGTACATCCTGTGTGTTGTTTCAGCTGCAGAATGGCTGTGACCATCAGCTGTAGAAGACTTTGTTGTTTATGGAAAACCTGAGACTCCTACAGGAACACCAGAGACCAGCGAGAGGACTGAAACCAGCCATCCAACCGTCATCCTCAGCCTGCTGCTTACAACACAAACAAGCATGAGCGCCAGAAGTTGCTGTAATGTCTGTTTTTCTCTGCTTCTTTGGATGTTCACCGGTTCGGGTTCATCTCAGCTCTTTGGTTCACTGGAGTTTAGTGGAGTGCTCTGAGGGTGACGGTTTGCAGTCCTACCAAACAGGGCTGGACTCGACCTTTAATCTGGATCGGCTTCTATCAAGAACGAATAAAGAGATTTTTCAGCTCATTTGACAGTTTTCTGCATTGAAAGGATAAAACTTCACTACTTTACCCACCAAAGTGGGTTCAGAGAAGGGTCACCGGACTTTCTCAGCCTCCTTAAAGAAGCTTTACTTCCTATTTGTCATGGAATCTGTGCAGCAGCAAAACATGACATAACTGTTGCATCCAGGGGATTTTTAAAACAACTTTTTCAAAACTACTTATGCTAAAGTTTAACCTTTAGGAAAGACTCAAAACATTTAGTCTTCTGTTGGAGATATAAGAAGACACCGTCCGTAGGCAGAAAGACTTTAAATGTGAGTGTAGACAGCCTCATCCAGATAGCGATCGGGTAAATACCAGAAGCATGCTTTCTGGAGCAGGATGACATTAGCGTGGTCCTGACCTCGTGACACAGAGCCATGTTTTGGTAGAAGTGCTGTTAATGAGTAGTTAGAGGGCGGTGAACCTTTGCGATGCTTTGAGCTGGTCTCTTTTCTTATCTGTCTGCTCTGCTTTGTTGTTCACGTTGGAGTATGGCCTTGCTGCTCCGGTGTTCGTTACGTAGAGCGAAGTACCTCCTGCTGCCAAACATCCTGTTCCCACGTGTTCGTATTTTACACGCCCTCGATAAGACCCCTCTGACTCACGGGCAAAGACAAAAACACAGAAGAGCAGAGCGGTGACGCAGAGCATGAGGAGGCGAGCGTTAGAGATCTGGAGCGCTGTGGCGCTTTCTCATTAAAGTACTGGATGTATACAGTGTTTTTGCAGGATTTGCAAATTTCTGTCAACTCAGCAGCACTCAGCATGTCCAGTCAGCTGATTGTGGTAATTGTTGGGATTTGTGTGACGTGCATCTGTGAAGTAAACAGGGATCAATCAGCCGGGTTTCAGAAATGCACACAAACAGAGGTTTAGAAGAGGGGAGGATGGGGAAGGTCTAAGCAGATCTGGGTGAAGAGGAGGAACGGCAGGCGCTGCTTTGGTTTGGAACACTGGGGTAAGCTCTGGTGAGCCAAGAGGACTTGTGATAAAAGCACATTGTTTGACTGGTTTACGGCGAGAAGAACAACCTCATCCTCTACAGACAAGACCAAAGAAACCATCTCAAACTTCAGGAAGAGAAATACTCCTTGACAGACTCGGCAGCCTGGCAGGCTCACAGATTGTAAACAAAGACTACGTCCCTCTTTAGCCAGTTAGAACGGAGAAACACTGACAGTCCTCCAGCCGGCTGAAAAGAAAATCTGTTTCTATGTAACCTTCCTTCCATCACGGTTGAGACGTGAGCATCTTTAACACCACTGCAATGCCAAAAATAACCCAGTACAGACTTTATTTCATCAGACTTCTCAACAAAGCTGGTCTGGACCATCGCCCACACACTCAGTCCCACAGACGGCTGATGGAGAGCATCACTGCCTGGTATGGCAACACCACCGGCAGAGAGAAAGGCTCTGCATATTTGGACTCTATGTACATGCAACGCTGTCAGAAAAGAGCAGAGGGAATAACCAGACACACACACTTCCCCACACACCCGCTGCTCAGACGCTAAAACTGCTGGTTAGACGCTGCAGACGTGCTTCTTTACCAGCTTCTCACACGATGTGAAAGGTACGACTCATGTGTCCATTATCTGTGCACAAGAACTCCAGTGAGCCTGACCTGTAGGTTTCTTGCACAACTGATAACCTTGAACCTTGGATTAAGAGCTACTACCACTAATGCATCAGTGCACAACCTTCATAATCACCCCAGCAGCCCTCTTAGTTTTTTCTTTTACCTAAACAATATCTATTTTTCACCCCAACGTTCCCATTTTGGTGTCTTTGTTCACAGATACCTCCGTTCTAGCGTGTTCCCCACCGGGACGTTCTACTCATCACTGATTTACAGCTGCAGCGATGCTGTGACACAACTCAGCACCACCGATGAGGCCTTGGCACGGTTTGAAATTTCTCTGCAATGATTGCAGCATTCTGCACCGTCATAGTCAGCAGTTTGGGTTGAACGACAGCTACGGGATAAATTGTTGGTTTCGTTCAAAACCGTCAAAGGTTTCAGCGAATCAGACCTCCAACGGCTTCAATTTAAACGTTCTGCACAATCAGACGTGTTGATTCTTGTTTTCTGTTAAAGCTGCTTTACATGTTACACAAACCTGGAGAGCCTCGGCAGCCGTGTGTGTAGTTAAAGATTTATTACCTGATAGAATCGAGCCGTAGAGACACAACGTACCAGATCCGTTCATCCATTAACCTCCAGTGATCTAAGTCTGGGTGATGGAAGACCCAGATCTAGGAGTGATGCTAAAAAAGTCCATCCCTTCCCCAGGGCCAATCTCCGGCTCATTCCGGGGATCCCGAGGTGTTCCCAGGCCAGAGAGGATGTGCGATCCCTCCGGCGACCTCTGCATCTGACCCTGGGTCTACTCTCAGTGGGACATGCCTAGAAGACCTCCATAAGAAAGAAACAGATGGATGAATCTCCTCAGCATACTGTTTTGATGAGGAGGAGAACTGTGTCTGCTCAGAGCTCCCACCTGGTGATGGAAGTCCCATCGTTAGGAGGAGCATCACTTTAGCTGCTTGTATCCAGGATCTGGGACCTCACAGGCGAGGAACGCTCTGTCCTTCGGCCCAGCCTTCCATTACAACCAGCGCTCCCAGTTCTGCAAATTCCCTGTCCTACCTTCACAAGTGAGCAGTAACGCTTCCAGTCTGGAGAAAGTATTCTGCCCTTTTCCTGAGTCCAACGCTGGAAACAAGCCTAAGAAAGCAAACAGCTTTTGCTTTGGTCGTACAGAGGCTGGATGACCCTTAAAGTCACCCCGGCACCCTGCACAGAACACAAGGACTCTCAGTCGTACGTCCTTTTCAAGTCCACGAAACACGTGTGACCTGGACAAGCGAATTCCCACGATTCCCTGTGCTATGGAAAATTGGCCAGAATGAGTTAAACATTGTCAGAGAGAGATGTTGAACCTCGTGAATGATCCTGTGTATCATCGCAAAGGAGAACCTCCAGCCTGGAGCTCCTTGGTGCTTTTTAAAATCCGTTAATAAAAAAAAAAAAAATCTTTCCACCTGAAAGTCTGCCTCTGAGTTCAACCGCTGCCAAGAAGTTAATGTCTTCGAGCATTTTGTCCCCAAGTCTTCAGTGGCTGCAGCCAGACCTGTCGCTCCATCTTTATTAATTCATAGATTTCCATAAACCCCTGCAGAGAAAAAACGTGAATAAAAAATAAACTTCATTACTTTCTTTACTGTCTGACGGTTTTCATTTTCCCTCACTTTTCCCACCAACCTAATTCGTTTTTTTCCTGTCCATCTGTCTCACACATTCTCATTTTCCATCCCTGCTGCTCGCCGTCTGTCTTTGTCGTTTACTGCTCCTCAGAGGTGCCCGAACTTCGTGATATATGAGCCTCAAGGCCATTTTGCACCTCTGACTTCTTCTGTGAGAGCCGAGGAACAAAGACACCTCGACTCTGCAGCTGTACACTTTTATTTTATGATGCAAGAACAAGAAAATGTTGCATCAGACTTTTTACAACAGAGGAAACAGAATTGTCTTGTTGGTGGAGATTTACTGACTGTAGAGGCGTGACAAGTAGTCAGGTTGTTTATTTTATTGAATCTTTTGTGCTTTTTATTTACCTTTATGGGTTTTTGTCTGAAGTTTTCGTATTGGTTCAATTGCACCACCTAGTGGACGCAGAGCTCATTTCAACCAAATATGAATGTGAAATAATCAACAAGTAAACAAATAACCCTGTCGTTGTTCTTAATGATAGGGTTGAACTAACCCTATCATCAAATTTTCCTCAACAAAAGCTCAGTTTTAACCCAATAGTGTTTTCAGAAAGGTTTTCTGTGCTACTTCCTTTCAGAAATGCTGATTGGTTCAGAGTTGATTCAACAGGAAACATAAATAAAACTACATTTTCTTACTTTAAAAATGAGTGTTGCTGCTTTATTACTACACAAAAATTCATTTCTGTAATAAGTTGGTGGCTGTAGGAGCCAAACAGAAAAACCCAGGAAGCAGTTAAGTTGTAATCTAATCTTGTGATGAGGTGTTTCTCCACCCTGGTCCTCAGAGCCCCCTGTCCTGCAGGTTTTCTATGCCTCTGCTACACCACACCTCGTCCACATGTTTGTATTGCCTCCTGAGGCTGACATCAAGTGCTGCAGAAGCCTGTTGATCACTCATTCATTTAAGTCAGGTGTGTGGCAGCAGAGACACAACGAACGCTGTTGGGAATGGCAACATGCAGGACAGAGGGGTGCTGAGGACCAGGGTGGAGAAACTATGTTTGTATGGGTGAAAGGCGAGGAGCACGGTAGCGATGAGACACTCACGAACGAATCAAATCTTTTGAACAGATGAGAGCCGTTTGTCTTGTACTCCGGTAACGAACCTCCCCGAAGTCGCCATTACCCACCGCTGTGACAGACGTCGAAGGAACGCTACCCAACCACGTTACCCTTAGGGACACGTTGCTCTTAATACCCCCCCCCCCCCCCCCCCGCTCTCATAGTTTTGCTTCGTTCAGACAAGCCAGTCTTTTGAACAGTTCTTTGAGGTAAACGACTGACTAATGAACAGCTCCCATGAAAGAGCCATAAGGTCCATCACTGGAGCAAACACAAGGAACCAGCAGCGAGTGAAGAACTGTGCAGAGGTGAAATAGACTGGGCAGTGATGAGGAGCAGGTGTGATGAGCACTGATGATGAGGATCCACAGGTGGGACTAGTTAACTGATGGGAGGCAATACAAAAACACAAGAGGACTGAAACTGAACCAGAAACGAAAAGAAGACGATGTTAGAAATAAAGACAGAATGAAACCGAGCAAGGTGACGCTAACCGATCTAAAGACACGAGTTCAACCTGCAGACCAAACTAAACACAACGAACAAGGAACGAGTAGGGAGAAGGGGCAGGAATGGAACTAAACATGAGTAGGTGATGGATGATAGCCAATGTGGAGGGAACTGCCAGAGAAACAAGGGGGTCAAAGGTCATGCATGCAAAAGGAGGCTAACTGCAATGAATGCTGGGGAGAAAAAGAGGGGGATATGGAAGGGAAATGACATGGACAGAACACGAGATCTTCTTAAAAGGACATAACCCCAACCCGAACCCGTTCATCAGACACTCTGAGCCGACGGACGAATACAACTCTGATGTGGCAGAAACAGCCCGGTGTGAAATGCCTGAGCACACACACACACACACACACACACACACACACACACACACACACACACACACACACACACACACACACACACACGCACGCACGCACGCACGCACGCACGCACGCACGCACGCACACACACACACACACACACACACACACACACACACACACACATTTCACTACTGAGACTGAACACCTAATGAAATTCTGACCTGACAAGCAAAATAATATTAAAGTAGTTTTCTCACATTTGTCTAAAAACGGCCACAAACAACACATTTCTGACCAAAACCAACCGGACCGTCTGGTTGTCGGTCTCATTCAGCTGCCGCACTTCCCTGGTCCTCCACCCATCACACACTCCTGTATTCAGCACCGGAACTCCACCGGTCTGAGAGGTTCTCCGCTCAATAACATCAGAGAAGGAGAAACAGCCGGCTGCTACTGCTTCAGCTTTCGGACAAACTGCCAGAGTCCCAAAAAGAAAATCACTGCTTGAAGTCTCGAACAACTAGAAAACCGGTGACTGGTGCTTAGCGCTATCTCGTTTCCTCTGGAAACGCTGGTTTCCGGTTCCAGTGGACGCAGGTCCAGGGAAGATACCTGAGGGGAGGGGTGAGCGTTCGGTGACCGTGTTTGCGTCCCAAAGCTTGTTTGCAGATTCGCTCTAACAGCTTTAAAAATCTGATTTTAGTGCACAGAAAACAAAAAATTCTCTTTGTTTACATGCTTTAGTTCTTTTATTCACATGTCGATCTCTACACAACGGAACAAATACGCACCCCAGCAGAGTCTGGTCATCACAGCCAGTTCATCTCTTATTATTAAGTGTTCAACCTAACAAGAAAAAAGTTATTTAAAGTGACAATGTGTACTTTTTACCACTCGTTTCTGGACATTTTCATTGAAATGTTGTAAATGAAGTAAAAGACACCCAGTTGTCGAAAAATATTGACGCTTTCATAACGTATCACCATAAAAATCGGGTCTAAAACACATGGGAGCTGGCTTAAGTCTCTGGGCGACGCCATATTGGATGCCACGTTTCCGTCTATGGAAGCCCCTGAGGACAGAATGCATTTGCTGATTTGAAACAAACTTTCATCATTAACAAACGTTCTTTTACACATTTACCTCGTCACTCGTTGCCAGCGATGAAAGGGAACCTGATGTTCTTGTTATTTTGCTGGAGGTGGCACTCCCAAGGACTTTTGACCCTAATGGCCACCCGTTGGTACGGCCTTACTTGAACATGAAAATAATGCTTGCAATGATTTAGGTATCTACTGCCCCCTATCGCCCGAGAAACTACACACTTTAATATCTGAAGTAAATGTTACAGATTTTTGTTTTCCCCAAATTACAAACAAACAAACAAATGCACAGAAAGAAAAATCACAGCAGTCTTTGTAGACGTGGACATTAAAAAAGTCAAAAGCTTCATTTGGTGTGCAAACGTGAGCTGAATTTTGAAAAGTTGCTCCATAGAAAGTGCATCGAGACTCAGAAACCTTTGGTCTGTTTCAGATGAATAAACAGAGGAGGCGACAGATTTACAACCCGATAACTCACATGTACGCTCAGCCTGATTTAGGTCATGAATAAATGATCCCCGGTTCTCCGAAGCCTTCGACTTGTTTGGTAGATTACTGAGATATGGGAGTTTCTTTGATCTCTTCGATTTCCTCCTCTTGAGTGTGAGGGTTGTTCTCTTTGCTCTCTGACTCGTTTGACTCTTCTGCGGGCTTTTTGCCACAGCACTGCTGTTTAAAGAAGGCGTTGAGTCGCTCCAGAATGTCTATGGAATGGTTGATGAGCAAAGCAAGCCAAGCCAGACCGAAAAAGATCCACGAGGCCATCAGAACACTGTACCAGTTTGGGTAATTAGTATCCGGGTTGTTGTCTAAGAGGGAAAAAGACTGGGTGTTTAGGTAGAAAATGTTAAACAGGTTAAAAGTGGGGTTTAAAGGGGAGCCGTACCAGCTACAAAGTCCCCAAAACCGATGGTGCTGAGTGTGATGAAGCAGAAGTAGATGGCCTGTGACAAGGTCCACCCTTCCTGCTGCTGGAACACGATCATGGGGACGATGAAAAAGCCCACCATCCCACAGATGTAGCTGATCAGGTGGATAAAGAAGCGTGTACACCTCTGCAGGCCGAGGGGAGGGAGATGTTAGTCACATCCTAGCGAGGTCGGAGCGACGGACTGCAACGTGCTTACCTTACGTCCGGTTTTCCCTTTGATGAAATCAGCAATGTTCCTTTCCACTGCCAGCATGTACTGCCCTACTCTGTTGAGCACCACCATGTTCAGAGGAATACCAAAGAGTGCAAAGAACACACAGAAGATCTGCCCAGCCGTGGTGGTGGGGCTCATGTTTCCATAACCTGCAAAGGTACAAACTCGCGTCAGTCTGGTGGAAGAGACACAAGATGGAGCAACTAGTGTTTACATGCATTAGTATAAAAAACAACAATACACTGTATACCCAAAAGTTCAAAATAATCAAATATATTGAGTAGATAAAACTTTTAATTAAAAAAAAATGTTTTTAGAACTCAAATGTGTTGAGCTTGTTCAACCTTTTCCTTGTTTTAAGTAATAGAACTCAAACGTTTTAATTAATCTGAACTATTAAAGGACAACTTAACTTTAATGAGTACTAACCAAAAAATGATTGATTTATTATTTTATGTTTCTATATTATTCCATTCATCTTCACGTCAACCCAAAAGTGTGTTTGATAAACAGACTTGTATATTATTTTAAATATTTGTGAATTTACAAGAAAAACAACCACAAACAAGCAATTTTGTTGGATTTCAGGAACAATAAACAACTGGTGGGTGAGGTGCATTGTGGGTAGTCATGTTTTCAGTTATTTTGCTCTATTTTGGGGTGTTTATGCGTGTTTATTGTGGATGATTGTTGTTGTCAGTTATTATTTCGTTCAGTGTTGCAGATGTGGTGTTACTTTTTGTATCATGTTGGCACCATAAGTGAGGAGGTTGGTCAAAGTAATGCCGTACGGCTGTGCCGTCCCATTGTTATTAATACTGTGGTTGTTCACACCAGATGCTCTTGACTTGACTTTGAGTGTTCCACTTTCATTGGCTGTTAGCGTTTATGGGTGTGTGAGTCATGATCTGGTGTTAGTTACTGCCTTCACCAGCCTGTCACATTGTAATTTTTAAGTAAATTCAACTTATTTGGGTTAGGGTTTAATAGGTCCATTTAGAGTTCATATAAGTTATAATATTTAAGTTAGTAAAAACATGTAATAAAGTTCAAATTAAATAAAATAAGTTTAGTGAAATTAAATTTTGTAAGTTGCTTAAGTACTAAGTTATAGGCTGGAGGTAGTTAAATGTTTTGATTTTATTCACGTCATATTTTTTAAGTTATGGTAAACTTATAGTTTCTAGATAAGTTAACTTAAAAATTATTAGGTAATCAGTTTCCTCATAAATTTTGAGTTCAGTGAACTTATTCGGGGTTACAGTGAAAGGTCGATGGGGTTATCATCTTTTTTACTGGATGGATTTGACTAAAATTTCCTAATTGGTTAAACAGCTGATCATCAACCCAATTTTCACTAATAACACAGCACCCTGGGATTCCTCCGGAGGAGCTGGCCCACGTGGCTGAGGAGAGGGAAGTCTGGGCCTCCCTGATTTTTACTTAAATACATGGAGGCAGGATGCGTCAGAACAGCGCTACGCCCTCCGTTGTCCCGGCGGGAGACGGAGACGTCCGAGAGCAAAGCATCTCTGTCCATGCGTGTGCATTCGTCCCTCGCGGAGCTGGTGAAGGAGTATAAATTGGGCTGCTGCCCCCGCGACCCCATCTCGGATAGGTGGAGGAATGGATGGATGTGCCAACAGCTGCCTCTGTTCTCCCTTCTTTGTCGAGTAAAAAATGCAACATTTATGATATCTCCACTAATAACACGAGCATGAACACGCTCCACCATGTTGTTGAGTTGCTATAGCTAACTGTTAGCTTCTATTAGCTCGTTAGTTTCCAAATTTGACAAAAATGTAAATAACTAAATTATTTTTCAGCATTGCCTGTGTTGGTGGTGGTCAGAGGGGCCGACGGCACCAAATGGCAGCCTCGCCTCTGTCAGACCGCTCCAGGGCGGCTGTGGTTACGTAGCAGCTCACCATCACTGGCAGTGGGTGAATGTAAGAGTTCACGCAAGCGTCTTTGAGTGTCCTAATAAAGCGATTATTATTATTATTATAATCTTTGTTTAAACCTCTGACATAAAAACCTGCCTCTCTTCTAATAACACAAGCCCTTAAATCCTCAACATCTGCACAGGGACTATTTTCACTGACATGATGAAAGCTCTGAGGATAGATGCTGTTTGATCAAAAGAGGCTCGTCTGACCTATGGTGGTGACTACGGTGGCAGCAAACACAGCGGAGCTGGTAAACTTCCAGAATCCATCCGTGGTGCGGTTATCCTTCAGGCTTAGACCTGCTTTTGACGACTCTTGAATCACCTGAAAAACAAAACAAATCAAATGCTTTCCTCTGTATTTTTACCTCTACTTCCTTGGACTGGGGCCCACACTGATAAGGTGCCACTCCGGTAAGGAGTGATCTATGGCGCGGTTTGGGGGCCAAAATTAAGACTACTGCCCAGCAGGAGGAGGCTATATAAATTCTGAAGCAAACTACCGACCTGATTAACGATAAGCTGGCGCTGGTAACTGAATGGCTGGTGCTGCTTACTGAGAAATAGCACCTTTACCGGTGTTATTACTAGATATGCTAGGGACTAGCAGCCCTCAGCTGGTCATTGACTGGTTCACACACTCCCTCTGCTGTCTGTTAGCATGGATAGACTAGCGTTAGCCTGGACTGGCTGGTGTTAGCATCGGAGAGGCTAGCCATTAGCGTGCCTAGGCTGGCCACTAGCTGACTAGTGACTCTCCGAGACATGCTAATGGCTAGCCTCTCCGATGCTAATGGTCCGTCAAGGGGGTAGGAAATCCAGCTAGTGGCATGCCTAGTCGGAGGGACCGGTGGCACCAGTGCTCGGCAGCCTCGCCTCTGTCAGTGCGCACCAGGGCAGCTGTGGCTACATTGTAGCTCATCCCCACCAGTGTGTGAATGTGTGTGTGAATGGGTGAGTGACTGATTGTGTTGTAAAGCGCCTTGGGGGGTTCCAGGACTCTAGAAGGCGCTATATCAAATACAGGCCATTTTACCATGCCTAGGCACGCTAATAGCTAGCCTTTCCGATGTTAACGCCAGCCTATCCATGCTAATAGACAGCAGAGGGGGAGTGTGAACCAGTCAATGACCAGCCGAGGGCTGCTAGTCCCTAGCGTATCTAGTAAAAACACCGGTAAAGGTGCTATTCCTCAGTAAGCAGCGCCAGCCATTCAGTTACTGGCGCCTTATCATTAATCAGATCAGTAGTTTGCTTCAGAATTTATATAGCCTCCTGCTGCTGGGCAGTAGACTTAATTTTGGCCCCCAAACCGCGCCATAGCGATCTACATCTTTAGGTTGGCTGGAACACCTTAAAGCTAATGAATGACAACTGTCAGCGTCCTGTCAGCAGCAGCATGAGGAAAAAGCACAGTCATGCGGGCTGTGGTGTAAACATTCATCATGATGGAAGGTCTTGCTCCCACGCAGGTGTTTCTAAAGGAAGGAGGCAGCAAACAGATTTAAATTCCAGACCTTCGTGCTGCTTCAACAAAAGCTGCCTGGTTGGATTTGTTTTCATATGATGCAAATCGCTGCAGCTTCTCTCAGATTACCATTACGAAGGCCAGCTGACCTTCAGCTCTTCGATTTGTGATTAAAAGTCACTTTTTACATCAGACTGCAGGACTGTGTGTGTTTCTAGGGAGGTTTTGTGTTTTACGGGTTTACCAAATGAAGAGATATCGTTTTGCTGCAGCACGAATGACTCTGGGTTTGAATGCATGATGGCAAAGCAAAGGCTGGCTATTTGCATGGAAGGATGTATTTGTCACAAAAACATGAGTCGGAAGCTTAAATAAGATTTAATTTTGTGTTTTTGTCCTTTTTACTTAGATCTGAAATCGGAATCTGCTAGCTTCTTCCTTTGTAGGCATTCAAATGAACCAAACCCTGCAGCGTTGCGTCTGATGCATTTGAGCTAAACAAACAAGGATTAATTATAAGAAATGGAATCTGAATGCTAAATGTATTTAACCATATTAATATACCTACTAACCTGATTGTTAAATGCGTATTTAAAGATGAACATTCATAAACGTTACATTCAAGTGGAAGAACAAAAGACGTTTGGTCCTTGAGGTAAACCTTGGATAGTCTCAGGATGTAAAGTCAGAGTCCAAACCGAGGGGAACAAACCAGTCTTTAGATGTTTTAATAGAAGACCTGTCTGGAGAATACTTCATGACGACTCGTGCCTCGCCTGGTGAATGCTGGAGAAAACCACCGACTCGCTGTGACGTTACTAAGCAGTTACAGAAAGTGAATGAATTTGTCTTTTTTTGATGAAAGCAGCTATCGGCTACATTTCTGGACTTTTGGTGTTTTCTGAGCCAGTGATGTTCAGACATCACCGCCATCGTGGACCAGTCCAGAAATGTCATTTAATTATCACACTTTCCTTTTCATGCTGCTGTTTCTGTAGTTTTTTTTTTGTTTCAGGGTCTCGTGTTTTCTTAATGTCATTTTTATTTAGAATCACGTATTTTTGTCTTTTATTTTTCCTTTGACCTGATTTTATTTTCATGATTTTTATCTAGAGCTGCGTTAAAAAAACTTTCTTCTTTAGTAGATTTCAGGCCAAAGTACTCCATGAACTTTCATTCTGTGTGACCAAACAACCCGTGGAGCCTCTTCTAGGCTTCTTCTGGTTTCACGTGTCTACAAAGACTAAACTGTCACAGCGGCATTAGACACATAACCATGGAAATGAACACTGAAGATACTTAATAGTTTAAAATTTGACACAAAAACGCGCGTTGGCCTTCACATGCTGCTATTTTCACTTCATAACACTCTGGGTTCTCCGGGTCTTACGTCTGTTAAATAAAGGCTCGAGCACTAATTATAGGTCCAATCCAGCCCGCCTTTATTTATGCAGCACTTATACACAACTCTGTTCACCAAAGATAAAAACAAACAAGCCAGCAAAGGTAAAACTTTCTAAAAATAAACAAATAAAACACAACACAGCTTAAAACAAACGAGTGGATGACAACAACCAGGCAGCGTTACGCCAGCGAATCAAAATGCGTCTTGAGAAGCGAGGAGGCCAGTCTAACATTGACAGGTAGGTGGTTCCTTACTCTAGGACCTGTCCCCCCTCAGCTTCAACCTTGACCAACTGCCGCTGGTCAACCGACTTCAGCTGGCGTATTGGCTCAATGGCAAAGGCACGCCTGTTAGGTAAGAAGGTGCTGACCTGCTGAAGGATTTATACGCCAGCACCAGGATTTCTAAAGTCAACTGGGATCCAGTGCAGCAAAGTCAGCAACGGGGTGACACGCTAGTAGCTGCTGTTAGCAAACGCACCGCAGCGTTCTGGACCAGCTGGTCTAGAAAGACAACTTGACTCGCCCTGATAGAGACCATCCAGGTGGCTCTTCGCCACAAATACGCTAACTTAATATACGGGTCCGTAAGGCTTTTAATGTGTACAGCACTTTGTGTTCGCCTGCGGCGGAAGGAAAGTGCTTCAAAACTACAGGCTGATGATGATGCGGTGGCACAGGAGTTAAGCGCTCGCCCCGTTATCAGAAGGTTGCAGGTTCAAGCCCCGCTCAGTTTGTCGCTGTGTCCTTGGGCAAGACTCTTACCCCCCCCTTGCCCGCTGGTCGGAGGGACCGGTGGCACCTGCGTACGGCACTCGCCTCTTTCAGTGCGCCGCAGGGCAGCTGTGGCTACACTGTAGCTCATCACCACCAGTGTGTGAATGGGTGAAGGACTGAATGTGTTGTAAAGCGCCTTGGGGGTTCCAGGACTCCAGAAGGCCCTATATCAAGTACAGGCCATTTACCATTTTACCCCCCTTGCTTGCTGGTGGGGGTTAGTAACAGTTGATGGTAAACACCGTGTTGGGCAAGAGGATGGTTTTAGAAGCTGTTCAGTAACACAAAACGTTTTCTTTTACGGCTATTTCAGTTTTTTTTGGGGGTGGAGCACCGACAGCCATTTTAATGAGTTACGAGCTTAAATTTAGCATCTAAAGCAAGAAGGGATGCCAGTGACATCGCTTTAGTCCACGACCGAGTGATCAGATAAAACGTGTTTATTGAATTTGGCCCAGCAGCCTTACCTTAGCCAACGCCACCAGCCCATCCTGGTTCAGACAGCTGTACGTGGAGAGCAGCTTCTGTCTGCTCTGCATTATTGCCCCGAGATCCTTGCTCCCGAGGTCTCCTTCAAGCTTCCAGAAGATCACCCCGCCAACCAGCACGTAGGTCACGTAAACCACACTGATGAAGAGGATGGACGGCACGCGGGCCAAGTGAAACATCTCCTTCACCCCCATGGCGGCCTGATGGTCTGATGTTCGGTTTCCAGTTTAGCCCAAGAGTCTCAGACTCTTCGCAGAAAGGAAGAAGGAGAGAACACGTCTCTGGCAGCGCAGGCAAATGAATGTCCTTGTGCTCTACCGTTTCATTCTCGTCAATGGCCAGGCATGCAAATCTGGAGGAGCAAATCATGACAGCACATGTGGGACTGTAGATGGTGGCTACGTTTATTTGATTCTGGGCTAAATAAAGATAAAACTCAAGAGATATTTTTAGCTTCGTCTGCATTTAATTAAACCAAAAACACCCCACAGGCGAAGGCCACTCTCCCGTTTTCCAGCTCACATCACCGTCTTGATGGATGTGTTTGTTTAAGGGATCCTTTCGTGCTCGATTCATTGGAGTTTCCCATCAGCACACAAGTGCAGGACTCACATGAGCACACTAAATACACACCTGTGACCTGATGCAAAAGAAACCATACAAGCTTCCTGTGTGAACACCTAATCATGAAGGTGAGAACCAAAAGAGCACAAACACAGCCGCATAAGACGCTGATCCAAGGCGGCCATTTGGAAAAGCAAGCTTTAGGAGGAAAAATAAATCCTGCTTACTTTGGCTTATCTGAGGTAGAAGACTATGTTATACAAACAAGAGTTTACCAGCGAGCAAACAGAGGCTGCATATGTACAAGAGAACAGTCACAGTAGCAAGTCAGAGCTGGTCTGTCCTCAGATCTTCGATGTGACCTCCAGTTTACTGGAGGTTGCTTCCTCCTCTTCCTCTTGCCTCTTAAACCCCGGATGAGTCAAGACAACCACGTTTTCCAATATTCTCGCTCCCGTGTTGAGGATAAGAGCGAGCCAAGCTAGAGCAAAGATGATCCAGACTCCTGCCAGGCTGCGATACAGGGAGATGTACTCCTTGTCCGGGTCGGTTCCTTTAAGCAGAAACACGAGACAACACGTCTGGTTAACTTTAGCCCAAAGACAAACGGAGAACATCGTGTTTGTGTTTGACAGAAGTGCCCAGTGAGGTTTTTCTACCACATTAGCGGCTGTTTGCATTCTCTACTCACCCACCACATAATCTCCAAAACCAATGGTGCTGAGGGTAATGAAGGCAAAGTAAAAGCCCTCGCCAAATGTCCAGCCTTCCACGTAACTGAACAGCAGAGGAGGCATGACCAGAAAGAGCAGGCTGCCCGTGATGAAAAACAAAACCAGTGTGGCCGCTTCGACGGCGCGCTGCAACAAAGAAATCAGAACGAATTACAAATAGAAACGCTCTGAGAGGCGCTGAGTAGTTCACCCGATGGTGATTCGGATTATCAGTCTCTACGATAACGTGTTTCCCTCTCATAAGCTCTGATCTGAAGGCTCCCCTAAACGAGAACAGGATGGTCTCCAGATCTGGAATCAACCGGCCCTTTGCACGTGATGTCTCACCTCTCCAGTAGGGACAGCTCCAGAAGGGAAACGCTGTTCATCACCTGTTATAAATCCAGCAGGACGAATTCTGGCTAAGTCAGCAGCTTGTTTACATCGGTGGGCAGCAGCAAGGAGAACGTAAGCTAACGTTCATAAGCTAGCTAACACTGTACCTTTATAGTGTTCTCTGTGAGCCCCATCCAGGCGTGTTAGACCTTCCCACAAGTGAACTGGGCTTGAACCAGCTGAAGCCATGCCAAACATTGCAAAAAACTACAACAACAACAAAAAACTACCTCAGGTGCTACTTTCCCCTTTGTTCGATACTCCTTTCACCTGATATGGTGGACCCACACGATCTGGTCACGCATCAAAGAGTCAAGAAGAACATCTGGATACATTTACCAGACCTTCATGGTCCATTTTACCAGGCCGCCCCAAAGGGACCATTTTCCAGGCCTGAACTGGAGATAAGTATGCTAGTGAAGGCTCTCGGTAATCCGGGTCACGGTAATCTAAAGGCAACTGGACTTATTTGGTTTCTCGAAGATGTTTAGCTTAACTGTAGCTGCTTATAGTTGATTAGTGAGCAAAAACTGCCTATGCATACCTCACCTCCCTCCTGAGGAGTCGTCGGGGTTAGAGTCTAACCCTAACCCTGTCAGGAGGTAGGGGTATTCATAGGTAGTTTCTGCTCATTAATCAACAACAGACAGCTACGGTTATAAGCTTGACCCTCCCATATTCCAGCCAGAATTGACAAAGCTCCTGGGATGAAACGTCTTCAATAAAAACAAAACCAAAGAAGTCCAGTTGCCTTCATTCAAACCCCTTTGCACTGGAGATGAGAAAATACGAGGATCGCTTAAGGAGGAGGTTGGATCTGCAGAGGAACACCTGGGCGATATGGAGGTATTAAAAAAAGATGCAGTACCTTGTGAGGAACAACTGCCACCATCCCCTTCTCCAGCTGCCCCAGGTGAATGGTGAGCCACTTGCCCATCTGTTTGAGGAATGCCAGGTTTAGCGGAATCCCACACAGGGCGTAAAACATGCAAAACACCTGCCCCGATACAGTGCTGGGGGAGAGATTCCCATAACCTGTCAACCACAAAACCACTGGTTATAGCAGCACATGCCAGCAGCAGAGATGAATATTCTGATCCAGCTGCTCACCGATAGTTGTGACTACTGTGCCTGCGAAGAAAAAAGAGCTGCTGAAATCCCAGTTACTTGGGTTGGTGGAGTTCCCCGAGGGGTTCACCCCCTTTTCCCAGGCGTATAAAATCACCTGCAGACACAGAAACACGCACAATGAAATCAGCCGTTAGTCTAAATGAAAACGCATTTTTAAACGTCTTTCATTCTATTTGCAGATAATTAAAAAACAAATTTTGTCTGTATTAATATATTAAATTCAACGTTTGCAATAAAATTAAAAATACAAAAATATTAAATTATTCTAACTAAACTTTAATATTTCAGAAAATAACATTTATTAGGTCAGGTACTAAATGATTTGTTGCCTTTTTCCTGAGCTAATGAAATAATGAATCCTTAAACCTGAGTGTTTCAATAGTAGATTAATACCTGATTGTATTTGGGACTTTGAACAACCATCGATAACCTTGCTTGTACGTCTGCACCACCCAACAGCATAAACACAACATTTTGAACATAAATGAATAAACTATAAACAAAAACCTGAACAAACTTCTCCAAAGCAGGTCCATCCAGGCAGGTGTAGTTGGCTAAAAAATTCAGCTTCTCCAGCTGGAAGTGGTTCCGGTTGTTGCTCTCGGCTTCCCTCTCCAGCATCTGGAAGATGGTGGCCCCGACCAGCAGGTAAGTGAAGTGGGCCAGAGCCAAAAGCGCTGTCCAGCTCAGTTTGACCCGAGCCAACTGGAACCTCTCCATCAAGCAGGACGACTAACGGGAACTTTCTGAATTAGCTTCAAGAAGCAGGACGACTGAAGTAAAGAGCCTCACTCAGGTTTCCCCCCAAAAACGTTAGTTGCTTCTGAACGTAGCATCGTAGACGTAAAAGTAACCCTTCCTACTTTCCGGAGCCGTTTTTCATCACAGCTGCATAGAACGACGGACGCAAGCTGGATCTGTGACTGGTGGCGTCTCCCTCTGATTGGTTGGTGCACTGTGGATGTTGATTCATGGGTTGCCGGGGTAATGAGCAAACTCCTTTCCTCCATTAGGGTGACACCTGACACACGCTTCTACTGTTTCCACTAATAAGGAAGCACCTTTCTGTTGGCAGAACAAACGTTAATGTTTTACCTGCTGATGACCCGACCTCTCGTTTGGGATCTAAAAGCCCGAGCAACTCTGATCTGTAACCACGACCCAGCTGAACCAGGAATTATTACAAAATACGTGAAACAATCACAGACTAACACTTCTAATCACCCCAAGCCTGTTCATCATCATGTTAATGAAGCTTTAGGATTAAACCCATCGCTTACGTAAAGCGTCACGTTAAACACGTCTGAAGTCGTAGGGATAGAGATGTTCAGCGACCTTTTTTCTCATTTAAAATGAGACTAAAAGGTAGTTTGAGATGTCTCAATGAAGAACAAGAAAAATGAAAAATACAGCAAAGAGAAATTAAAGATGAATCTAAAAAAGGGACAAAAATTTAACACAGAAATGAAATTAAAGCTTAGTTTTGTTTAGTTGGGCTGCAGGTGTGTTCTTGGCATCTTTAAATATTTATGAACATCATTAAATTTCTAAAAACTCTTTAATGCTTTCAAGTGTTTTTAAGCTTTTAATGACATTTCCAGACTTCTGTCACTCACATTCTAACCTATTAGAGGAATATGTTTGGTATATTTGAACATTTATTAACATTTAACAGTATCACATTAACTTTTCTTCTCTTGCACTGATGTCTTCGAGTTCCTGGAAACGAGTTCGTACTCATGGTGACGACATGTTGCAGGTATGACTTTACGGGTCGAGTTACCTAGGAGAAATATCCAAGGCAACCAAGATCTAAGGCCCGAATGCAAAGCATGCAGCTTCTTGTCATCTGTCAAACAAATCAGGGCAAAGCCATGCAAACACGCAGACAGGTTGTTTCTGTGAAGTAGGTGGCTCCACGGGGGCTGGATGGGCTTTCGCTTGCATAATGTTAAATACGAAACCAGTATGGACCGGATAGACACATCCAGCTGTTACACACTCCCGGCTGTAGGTTAAAGCGTATTTACAGTACGTTCCAGGAATACATCTGTTTGTTTCCCCCCAGAACCTCGCACCTGTGCACCAGCGGTGGCTTGGATATCGATCAATAAATAAAGCACGAGTTTAAATCCGAGTCAAACGTTGAGCAGAGCAGATAAAACAGGTTTGAAAGTCCGCGTGACAATCCAAACTCACGAATATTTCAACGGTGCAAATCAAGCACAAACTACACTTTTATACAGTTTGTGTGTAGATTTAACATTTTCCCACATTTTCAGATGAAAAGCCAATATTGGTGGCAGTAAAGAGTACTCAGGCGTTTGCTTGGAGGCTGAGACGATGACCTTCTTCGAACACCATTTCACTGCTGAGTGTGACCTGAAACACACAAACACAAGCCTGAAGCATCAGCCACCGCTAGAGCAGGAGGTCATTAACCCCAACAGAGCAGGAGCTAAACGTTAGCCACGTTAGCAACATGGCGGAACACATTTGGGCCTGTGCTATAGAAGAGAAGAGCGAACAAAAGCAGCTGTGCTGCGTTGCCGTCAGCCAATCACAGGGCAGACACTGGGCTGCATGGTGGCGCAGGGGTTAGCACTGTTGCCTCGCAGCACGAAGGTTGCAGGTTCGAAACTCGGCTGCGGCCTTTCTGCGTGGAGTTGCGTGTTCTCCCCATGCATGCGTGGGTTTCCTCCGGGTTCTCCGGTTTCTCCCACAGATCACAACACGCCCTACAGGTTATAAACTGTAAGTCGCTTTGGATAAAAGCGTCTGCTAAATAAATAAACATAAACATTTGCATATCACGAATGTTAATGAGCAAAGACAAGTTTCTACGTCTGTCAGCAGGTCGGCGCACACACACATTCAGACATTTCGCACCTCTGTTGGTGTCAGCGGTGCGACGCAACTCTCCACCTGGGCAGCAGGGGGCGTAGACCCATCCATCTTCAGAACCCGCTTTGTCCACGCGGGGTCGCGGGGGGAGGGGGGCTGGTGCCTATCTCCAGCGGTCAATGGGCAATTAGGCGGGGTACACCCTGGACAGAGAGCCAGTCCATCGCAGGGCAACACAGAGACACACACACACCTGAGGACAATTTAGACAGACCAGTTAACCTAACAGTCATGTTTTTGGACTGTGGGAGGAAGTCGGAGAACCCGGAGAGAACCCACGCATGCACAGGGAGAACATGCTAACTCCATGCAGAAAGATCCCAGGCTGGGAAGCGAACCCAGGACCTTCCCGCTGCAAGGCAGCAGCTCTAACCACTGCGCCACTGCGCAGCCCCGGGCGTAGACCCTTCCTGGCGAATCTGCTGACCGTTGCAGTGACATCGCTCGTTGATGACAGCTTATTTATTTTTAAACGCAAATCTGCAGAAGGAGAAACGGCTGACAGAAAGAAAACTTCATGATCTCAGGGAACAAAAACGTTTGTTACAAAAATTCAACAAGAGCAAAGCGGACAGCAGCGCTGTTGGCAAATTTAAAGGACGTGGCGTCAAGCCGGAAATGATCTTGGGTTGTTGGGCCGACCAATCCCAGGACTCTGTTGTGTCCAACTGGGCTCTACTTCATGCGCCCTAGCGTTTCTGTCGCAGAGCCCTCGGGTCGAGGGAAAATGGGCGAGTCGCCGCACCTCCGCAGATGGAGAAGTATAACCTAGGCTCGTTTTCTCCACCAACCTACACCTCTCACAAACTGCTGCCGTCTGGAAAAGGCCAGAGCTCCTTCTCCACAGACATGACCCACAAGGCCTTCATTCATACTAGAGACCACAGCAAACACACTGAAAAAGACGAGCGAACGAGAGCTTTAAAGAACGTCATCCTTAGAAAGTGGCCACAAAGGGCCTGATTTCTTCTACTGTTTCAGTAACAATATGAAATTAGATCCCTGTGGTCTGCTTTAGCTCACATGACCTCCCCTCCTCTGGATCACCGATGACAGCCACTGTACTGGTTTTCTATTTTAAAAAAGGACACAAAAATCACCAAATGGCACGGTATACTGGGGATCAGGTGAAAACGTTGCTGAGGGGGACTCGTAGGTTTATCCACAACCACTAAGTACTTGTTTCCTATCAGCAGCCTCTGCTCAGTGCCGTCTCTAACAAGAAAACGAAGCTAAAGGGGGAAATACACCCGAAATCTTCACTTTAATGACAGAACATACTCATGACAGGCTTCGGTGAACCTAAACGAAGAACAGAGTTAACAGAGATCATTTATATTGCATCACACCATCAGAGCCACCAGAGGGCAGCGTTGGATGTGCACACCTTTAGTGCTTTTGCACAGATTCGTGTGTGTTGCTTACCTATCCTGCTCAGGAGGTTTTTCCGAGCCATGACAAACGCCAGGATGTCTGCATCGACTTGCTGGTCTCCGGTCAGCGGGATAGAAGAAGATGAGATTGACGTTGCAGCAAGATCTCTGAAAGATACTCAGACTTAATCCGACATGTGGAGAATCAGAAGGTCTGTGTGTTGAATACGCATCATAACTGGTCACACTGGAACACGTGAGGAAAAAGGCCTGCTGTGCGTCTCTGGGTGAAACAAAGGTGTGTTTGTACTGCGAGTGTTTAACTGCAGCTGTAAAAAACAAAAGGAGCTTTCAGCTTCTGGGCTAAAGCAGGACCTCTTGATTTGTGGACTTTACTTGTAGACGTTACTTCACAAAGACATAAACATCTCTGACAGCACTTGTGGGAGAAAGGAAAACACCGAGGGGCTATAAAGTCCACAGGCTGGACATATGGAAATCTATAGAAAGTGCTTAAAGTTGAGCGAACACTGAGAAAATTACGTTCCTGTTTTAATGACGTCTGTCAAACACACTGAGCCCATTAAAAAGCTCCAGTTATTTTAGCAGCATAATAATAATAATAATAATATGATGAATGACGATGATTTTGGACTTTCGTACCTCCACTGTGAAGAGTCAGGACTCATCGTCCCATCCAAAGACTTATTAACAGCTGCAGGAACGTTATCAGGAACAGAGCTCCTGAAAATCAGATTTTATTTTTCTAATTCATTAATGAAACGTCATAAAACGCCACCATATCTTACAGGTAGAAGCAAAGCGTGGCCGACCTTAGTTCTGGAGCAGAAGAGTCTGTTGTGGACTCCCTCGGTGTGCTGGCCAGACCAGGAGCGCTGAAAACATACGAGAACATTCAGATGTTAGAGGAATGCTTCATGACCCATAAGCATTTACATCTCTCAACCACAAGAGGGTGCTGCAACACAAAATACGTGACAGGCTAGTTTTTATGAATGAAACTTAATACCTTCAGGTCAGAACCCACTACAGGCTGGACTCAATCATGATCATTGCTGCAGTACATTTATATCTACCTTCATTTCAGTGTGAACCCAAATATTTAATGTCTCTTTCAGTTTTATTTCATTATCAGTCTCGTGTGATTTCAGCATTCCAGCGGCTTCTAGAGTCCTGGAACCCCCCAAGGCGCTTTACAACACAATCAGTCATTCACCCATTCACACACACATTCACACGCTGGTGGGGATGAGCTACGATGTAGCCACAGCTGCCCTGGGGCGCACTGACAGAGGCGAGGCTGCCGAGCACTGGCGCCACCGGTCCCTCCGACCACCACCAGCAGGCAACGTGGGTTAAGTGTCTTGCCCAAGGACACAGCAGCAGCGACAGACTGAGCGGGGCTCGAACCTGCAACCTTCCAATCACGGGGCGAGCACTTAACTCCTGTGCCACCGTCGCCCACAAAAATCCCAGCTGTGTCACCAGACGGAGAAGTAGGTAAGCACAATGCTCCCCCCTCATGGAATCGAGCCCTGAAGAGCTGCAGGTCGTCGGTGATGTAAGCACGTACGGTCAGAAGGTAAAAATGACTGAAGGTTGGGTAGAGGAGCATTGTTGCCATTTTGCTGGAAGCACTCTTCGCTCACTGTCGTCAAATCACCTCTGAAATGTCCAGTCCTGTAAAACCTCATCCAATCACTGTGAACGTCCCCTTCTCAACTGTTGGAGCCCGATCCATCCATCAACCTGCCCTCTGACTGTCCCTCCCCCCTCCACACACACTCTAACTGTGAATGAATTATGCGTTCTCGGCTGGCGGAAGCTGAATAGCAAACGAAGCCAGATCCGGGCTAGCTATATTAGCTAACAGCTATATTAGCTAACACACTAAACTGTTATTCGGTTAGCTAGAGCAAGAGTAGCAAGGGTGGGTTCTAGTTTAGCAAGCCCAGTCCTCCTCCCTGGATGTCCGATCTAGTTCCCAGTGGCTTCCTTCTCTTAAACTTCCAGTGGAGACGAAGTCCGGCGAACTCCTGACCGACACCGGACTCTGAGGAGTCCGTCAGAAACCTGAAGGCGGTTATGTAGGTGTGTTTTGTTAGGATTTATGTCAGAAAAGATGCCAACAACAGGTGGAAAAGTTTTGGCAGTCTGGCATTCTCCTATTCAGGAGGTGTGGCTTGTTTCGGGGTGGGTGGGGCTCTTTGAATTGGGTGTTATTGAATGTAGCTAGCTTAAACAGCTTTTTCAAGGTGCACCTTCCCTAGCTGTACAGCCTCCTTCCAGAGCAGGGGTGTCAAATATGCGGCCCGTGGGTTAAATCCGGCCCGCGAGATGGTTGTGTAAACTTTATTTTCATACTTTACAATGTAGAGTGAAAATAAACGTATCTTTGTGAGCACGTTTCCTCTGTAATGAGTATAAATAAAACAAAGCTGCGCTCAAGGCTCACACAAGAACTTAAATCACATCCTGAAGTTGGCCGCCACTCAGGATGTGACTTCTGATGTTGATGTGCTGGTGAAAGCTAAAAGATGTAAAGTAAAATGAGTCAAATATACTTTAAGTGCTGCATGAAACTGATCTAGCCATGTGATCTGTAAGCTCTGAATCACTAAGGAATGTTTTTTTTATTTATTGATTTTTTATTTTTTTTTTTTTCAAATTTTCAAGTACACTTCAGGTGTTGTACTTGTACCACACTGTCCTCAGGCTCCAGCCTTGGTTTATATTGATTGTATTAAAACAAAGAAAACAATCTGAAGTTGTTTTTAATTTACTGGTCCGGCCCACTTGGGACTAGATTTCTCGCAATGTGGCCCCTGAGCTAAAATGAGTTTGACACCCCTGTTCCAGAGTGCTTCTCTTATCCGATGGCACCATCTAGTGGCTGACAAGCGTATCACACAAAAACGCTGTTACTCTGTTTTTTTAAGATGGCGACTTCACGTTTCTGTTTATAAACGTGCTTCTGTAGCGACAAACAGCTAAAACACGGTGTTTTACGAGTATTATTCTCATGTCATGCTGTGTTCTCATATATTTATATTTTAAAGACTGTCTTGTCCGTGAAAAGTTCATCAGCTCTGCATCAGCCAAGGTATTCCTTAAATGTGAAGCGCCTAAGCGGCAGTCTAATGCTATTGGTTAGTTCTGGTCGGCGCTCAGTTTCCTATTGCACGGAGCTCTGCGGAGCAGGAGGCGTGCTTAGCAAAAAAACAAAAAAGACATATTGCTTATATTATATCACAGTACACGATGAGATAATCACCTTTACGGATTTCTGACTAATCATGCATCATTTCTGAAAGAGGAAAACTCTGGAAAGCAGCTTTAATGTAATGAGAAGTGATGAGTCAGTGAGAGGATGTGGTTCCCATGGTAACACGGCTACTTTCTGCACAATGACACAATGTTTGGGTTTAAAGAGCTATTTCTTAGTTCCTTAGAATATATCCTATGATGATTTCTCCCTTATTGGTGGACGTACAAGGTTGGAAAAACACAGGAAATCTGCTGCATTCATTGCACCGCGGAGATGAAACGTGTCCATGCAACAAGCTCTAAACACAAGCAACACGAGTGGCGTAAAGCGTCTCACTACTTCTTCCAAGAGATGCAAGACGACCTGACCTAAAATACCTTCAAGGAGCTGAAGGATGGACAGGGTAAAGAGCATTACATGTCTCACCAAAGTCCTGGAGAACCAGGTGAAGATGGCTGCAGGGACCCGTTCAGCGAGGCTGTGTTACGTCGTCTTCCAGCTCCTGAGTCACAGTCCTGATCATAAATATTGAGAACTTATTGATCTATTCCTGTTAACTAAGACAGTACAATAGTTCAACAGGACAAGGTCACATGTGTCAGACAGAGTGAAGAGAAGACTTCTGATGCTCTAGCATCTCTGGTCCATCATGCATCGTCTGCAGAGTTAAAGGGACTAAATGTGTGCAACAGGAAGTAGAACAAAGCTGTTGGACGAAGAAACTGGCAACAATCTGCTTCCTGCTCCGTGAACCAAAGCTGCACATGTCAGACACATCTGCCAGACTTCCCTTTCTTACCATCGGGTCTGACACGTTTCCAAATGTTGCTGAGATGTGAGCGTTCGTTCAAGAAGATCAAAACCAGCGATCAGAAGCCAGCAGCGTCTGCTCATCAGATGTCGTTATTAAACGCTTTTCTCTCTCTCTGTGGTCGGGCTCCCCAAGGCAACCATCAAGGTCAAGAACAATGAGTCTGCTCTGTTAGGCTGTGTTGCACGTCAGTTTTTAGTCCAAGCACTTCACCCCGAAGTTTTTTAAATGACAAAAGAGACGCTGAGTCATTTTATTATCCCTCTGCTGCTATTTAAAGGTCTCATTCCCAGAGAAACCGTATCATGCTTGCTCTTTAACTACTCGATCGGCCACTCTGAGCTGCACGTGCGAGCTGGAGGTGAGAACTGTCTTCGACCGCCATCGTTGGAATTAGCCGCAAAAAGGAAAAAGATGCAAACACGAGTGAGTCTGAAAAAGCCGGTCTCTTCTACACAATGCTGCTGCACGGTGGCGCAGTGGTTAGCACTGTTGCCTCGCAGCACGAAGGTCGCATGTTCGAAACTCGGCTGTGGCCTTTCTGCGTGGAGTTGCGTGTTCTCCCCATGCATGCGTGGGTTTCCTCCGGGTACTCCGGTTTCCCCCACAGTTCACAACATGCCCTATAGGTTAGAAATTGCAAGTCGCTTTGGGTAAAAGTGTCTGCTAAGTGAATAAACATAATAAACATAAACATAATTAGGATTTGTGGCCCCGCCCACCTAGGCTTGCACACACGGTTACTGTTACACGGTTACAGGAGAGAGAAGAGCATCTCAGCCAGTAGAAGCTAACCGCAGGCTTGAGTTATTTGTGGAGATAAAATATAAACATTACATATTTATCCAAGAAAGAAGAGAGAATGAAGTTGTTAGCCAATCAGAGGTGAGATGTTTGCATGTCATGAATATTAACTCATTCACTGCCAGCGTTTCTCATCGTTTTTACTGTTATTTTTAGAGTGACAGAATGTTGCGCGCTAGGATGATGTCGACACCAAAACAACCAAAACAAAGCGGAGACTCACCTCTTACATCGGGAAGAATCCGCGCGTTTCGAGCGTTATCCGCTCTTTCATAATCCGTCAGAAGCTTTTCCGGTTCGCGTCTCACTTTTTTTACAGCAGCGGCCCAAAACGATCTCCTAACACGTGGATGTTCTGCTTCCTGATCACGAGACGCATGCGGATGAAGATCGGCTTCAGAGCTGAGATGTTTGTTCTCACGGTGCGGGGGCTCGTCCGACGCCCACACAGTAAAAACATGCAACTGACGACTTTAGTCATCATTGGCAGTGAACGAGTTAATGAGTGAGCGTTGTCGTTCTCTGTCCCCCTCTCATAAGACGATCTTCTGGCACCTGGAACACGAGTGTGGGAGCTTTTGTAAACTGTTGTTTACGCTAACCGTCAGGAAAAACTACGCTTTCTCACCAGGTCTCATTTGACATGTTAAGCAGAGGCTGCACTAGACATGCTCAACACACACTCCGAGACTTCCATGACGACGGAGACGCTAACAGAGAATCACGAAGACAACGAGGAAGGGACATCTCTGCAGTGAGACACATTCTTAGGAGATGTATGTGGTGTTGTCACACAGATCGGCGGGAGGTCACTCACCTGCAGATTACAAGTCTCCTGGCTCCACCACTTCTGGAAATCCTTCTGGATCTTGACCTTCACTCTCTCCAGCAACAGCTGCAGGTGCTCAGTCTCAGTCCTCAGTGCTTTCAGGCGCCCAATGCTGCTCTTGTAACTGACAGGGGGATATCAGCAGCAGGACATTCATCTTTTTGTCTACGTTACACACGTTGCACCTGCTGGGTTCAATCAATCCAAACGGGGACTTGGGGGGAGAAAAAAATCACAAAACACTCCAAACATTTGGTATGATCGTTCAGAAAACTCACGCTGATTTTTCTTCCCTAATTTGTGCGCAGAGCTTTTTTTCCATCGGGTCAAACTCTTCAGCCTGTGAGGGGTTCCCCGTGGCATCTGTCCCGTTATGAAAAATGAAAGACGACTTCAATAACATTGTTGTTTCAGGTTCTTCAGGCAGAACATGTTTCCTTTAAAAACAACATGAAAAGGGGCAGCAGTAGCTCAGGTGGTGGAGCGGGTTGCCTCATGATCGGAGGGTCATGGGTTCGACTCCAGCTCCCGCCAGGGGTATCCTGCTGTTGTGTCCATGGGCAAGACATTTCACCCAACTTGCCTGTGTTGGTGGTGGTCAGAGGGGCCGACGGCGCCAAATGGCAGCCTCGCCTCTGTCAGACCTCCCCAGGGAGGCTGTGGCTACGCTGTAGCTTACCATCACTAGCAGTGTGTGAATGTGAGAGTGTCTTTGGGGGTCTAGAAAAGCGCTATGTAAGTTCAATGCATTATTATTATTATTAAAACCTTTGGTTCTGGATAACGAGAACCTGGTTTTCTGATGCTTGGACTCAAAATAAGAAGAAAGAGGCCTGAAGTGAAAGGAGATGTTTTAACGTTTTATGACCAGAGTTCCTCATCAAAGCTGATGTAAACAGTCAGAGGAGAGTCTTGGACCTGAGCTGCCCGGGCTTTTCTGAGGTGGCCACGGATTCAAACGCAGAACAAGAGCGCCCACAAAGCTCCGTGTTTACCAGACGAGAGCTCAGCATGAAGATGAAGCTAAAACACGTTTCCATCTGTGACAGCTCTACACAATCTTAGGTGTGTTCTTGCTGTGCGTTATTTCTAATTCCATGTTGTCGTTCTTTTTTAAAACACAGAAACGGTTATGTTACCTGTAATTGACGCTACAGTTTCGCCGTCGGCGAAACTGTAGCGTCAATTACAGGTAACATAACCGTTTCTGTTTTAAAAAAGAACGACAACATGAAGCTCTGCACAATCTCTGTGGATTTCAAAAGCTTGTCCAGAATTATTTACAGCATGTTTGATCCAACCGCAGAACCTGACGCTGTTCAGGTTTTGCTTAATTTGAATAAATGATGAGTTTATCTCACCGCTAGCTGCCTTCTGTCTCCTCCGAGTATCCAGCTGCTTCTTCAACTCGTCTAAAAAATGGATGAAAAATTACAGAACAGATTTTACAACAATTTTTTTAAATCATACAACAAATACCAACCTTTGGCCTCGGATGTCTAACTTTCAAATTGGCCTTTTTTATTATGAAAAGATCTAATACAACTGTGGGGGCGGCCGGACATTTCTCCACCATTAGTTCAACTCAGTCCAAACGCCCAATCTGAGGCCATTGTTCTTGACTGGAAAAGGGTGGAACGCCAGCTCTGGGTTGGAGGAGAGGATCTGTCGCAAGTGAGGGAGTTCCGGTATCTCTGGGTTTTGGTCATGCGTGAGGAGGAGCAGGAGCCCCTGCAGTGATGTGGACACTGAACCAGTCTGGTGAAGAGGGAGCTAAATCAGAAGTAAAGCTTTGTTCTAATCCACACCTTCAGTCAGGAGCAGAAGAACAAGATCATGAACCCAAAATGAGTTTCCTTCATTGGGCAGCTCAGGCTCAGCCTCAGAGCTCTGACATCCGGGAGGGACATTGAGTAGAGCCGCTGTTCCTGCACATTTAGAACAGCCAACTGAGGTGTTTCAGTTGGTTAGGCAGCTTCCTGGACACATCCAGAGGGAGTTGTTTCAGGCATATCCGGCTGGCAGGAGGCACCAGGGGGGTGGCCAGGGAAAGAACATCCGGCTCTCAAAGTTAACTCTTAAAATGCCACTGAACAGCGACAAAACCATCCATCCGTTCTTCCATTTTCCTCAGGTCGCAGGGGCAGCAGCCTAAGCAGAAAGGCACAGACTTCCCTCTCCCCAGCAACCTGGGCCAGGTCCTCTGGGGGAACCCAAGGTTCTCCCTGGTTTTGGGTCTCCTCCTGGTTGGACGTGCCCAGAAAAGCTCACCAGGGAGGCGTCCAGGAGACATCCTAACCAGATGCCACCTCCTTTAGTTTTTGTGTCTTTCTTCCTCTTAACGATGAGGATCCTGAGGTTGGGTCTCAGTCGCTGGACTGGACTAACCCTAACCCTAAGGAAAAGCCCCTGTGAGGTGAAACTTGACACTAGACGTTGATTTTTTGAGGGAGTGGGGGTTGTTCTGGTGGGAAAAAGTCAAAAGAAGATGAGTTTTAAGATAAACGTGTCAGATAAAGAGTTTGGTGGCTGGCCAGGATAATAACTTGGCGATTAGAAAAATAAAAGGGACATTAAACTGCAGAACGTTTGCATTTCAATCCCTCAGTTCTCACATTCATCTAGGCTTTGCTTTGTAAAGTGATCCCATCTCTGCTCTAAAAGGTCCATGAAGTAGAAAGGCTCTATCTTCCATCAGATGCCTTTGGTCTTCTGAAAGATCTAGGTGGGATTTTTAAACCAGCTCTTGATTTTCCTGTAGTTCGTGTTCTCCTCCAGAGAGAAATGAAGGTAAAACTGTTAGCGAAGTGCCCATGAAACCATCTCATCTTTCCAAAGCCACCAGTTCCAAGCAGCCCACTTTGGGGCTTTCAGTAGACAGTGGAGACGCAAATGAATGAAGAGGAACATTATAGGTGACACACAAAGACATGTTGTGCCCATGATGAGAGAGCTTTTTCCCAATGCCTGTGAGGTTTGTGAACCTCTCGTGAAGCCATATGTTTGGGTAGCTGAGAATGTAAACGAACTGCGACGCCCTGTGGCTTCGTCTTGTGGTCATGTAGGCAGCCGGAGTCGCAACACGACGCACTAAAAACACACCCCCAGCCAACCGGTGCAGTCCGCTTCTTCACAGAGACATAAGGGATTAAGAAAGCACGACTCTGGCTTGATGACAGAATAAAAAACGAGCGCACGGATGCACGATGAGCACAAGGTGGTAACACCGCTGGCAAGGCTCACGTCAGTCATGGCGTGTGAATCATCAACATTAATATAGGTGTGAATAAATGATTTTGAAGCTCAAAGCTACAGAGTAAAAAAGCCACAGCAGGAAATATTTCTGACCTATTCCTATGTTGTAGTTGTGACCACAGATCTGTTGCAGCTGACAGATCTTTATGCTGCATGCAGTAGTTAGAGACAAATCCAGCTGCTTTTAAAAGGATCAGTGAGGAAAACTGTGAGCAGATTTTAAAGTTGAAGAAGAAGAAGAAGAAGAAATCATTTCTATAGCGCCTCTCAAGATAAAAATCACGAGGCGCTTCACAAAAACAAAATATGTAAAAATATAAAAAAGAATTTAGAAAATGATTAAAAATATATTTAAAATGAGCAAAAAATAGACAATTGTGATTAAAAAATGTTAAGAAAGAGAGAGAGTGAACAGGAAAGAGGAAATCAGTGGATCCTGAGGAAGGTGGAATAGGTGGGGAGAGCAGAACAAGGAGAGGGTGATGAAGGTCACACCAAAACCAGCTTGAACAAGTGAGTCTTCAGCTGCTTTTTAAAGGAGACCACTGAGTCCACTGATCTCGGGCTCAGGGGGAGAGAGAGGTCCAGTGTCTGGGGGCCACCGCAGCAAATGATCTGTCACCTTTGACCTTTAGCCTGGTGCTGCACAGGCTAAAGATTGAGACTTTAAGGCTAAGACTATTAATGCAACCCAAACCCTGATTTAGAAAACATAAAACTCATCATGATTCAGGTCAAGAATAATAATGTTTATTGAAAATTTCCTGCAGATCATTTCATACTGAGAAATGATGGAGTTCATCAGGAATAATGGTGCGTGCACTAGTTAGGACTTGTGTTTTTCAGCATCTCCTACCGTTCCCTCAGACCTGTCAAACTGATTTAAACTCGCTTTAGATGATTTTACTGCATCCAGGCATTATTCACAGCTTATCACAACCTTTCTTCCACAAATTCTCCACGAAACCCCAAAATAGCATCAGGAAATTTGATTTAAAATTCAATTTGCAAACAGGTTGGACCCAAAAGCAGAAGTGTTGAGGCTGGGTAGTAGGACACACACTTTACTTCTGGAACAAACCTTCAAGTATCTCAGTGAAGATGGAGGAGTTCAACAGGCCGGCCTTCTGAGGCTCCAAAACGACTTAAAATCCAACGTTTCTTCCTACATTTGGCAGGAAAGTCCAAGAGATTTGCATATGTGTCAAGTAACAACAGGGTTAGCTCTGACTGTGGCGATACTTCATAACATTTCAGCGCTCCGACTCCCCTTCCAGGACAAGACTGAGAGCTCAACACCCTATCATTTTTAAAACCACAGACTTTCTCCCACATCGTCAAGCAATGGGCAATCGTCTTGTGGACAAGCTTGAGGCTACAAGCCTCATCAAATAACTTGGTGATTTTTGTGGCTTGAGATTTAAACGTGATGTGCAGCCGAAGGTTCGAGCAGCATGCACGTGCGGCAGCTTTGATCTACAAAAATAATGCATCTTATGGTTTGTGTAAAGACTTAAAATCCTGCAGAAAGTTCTGCTAAACGCTTTCTCCTTTCATTAGGCAGATGTGCTTCTTATTAGTAAAATAAGAATTTTAAATGTCATCAGGAAAGAAGAATTCAACAGCCTTTTAAATCTACGAAGGCCCAAGGTTCTGGAGGAGTAATCAGAAGATGCTGCGTGTTTCCAGCTGTTTTCCATCATTGATCCCTCTGAACCAATGCCCTTATACCTTCTGGACCTAAGGGCCCAGAATGTGTTCTTCCAAAGGGACTGGACTCCAGAACCATGCTTCAAGGCCAACCACAACAGTGTAAACTAGGAAAATGTTTACACACTGGAGATTCCTCGAGCTACCGCCCCTCTCTTTCTTCCCAGCGACCGAGGCTCGTGCTGAGCGGATCCATCAGAGACGGCTGTTATCTATATTATACAAACCGTCTCCAGAATGTGCATTAGGCACGAGACGCAGGTGGTGCATGCGTCCAAACGGGGCGGTGGAGAAGCACACCGAGCCAAATGCTGCGGTTGGCTTAACAAGCCAACAGAAGCAACCTCGTTCCATTTAAAAACACGGTCTCATCGAAAAGCAACGTGGCTCCATACATCTGACAATGCAATAATATTTGACAGCGCCGAGACGCTCTCAGGATGTTTTTCAAAACGGGAATTAAATTTGGAATTTGGTTTCCAAAACTCGACCAAGAAAACTTTGCAAATGTTCCACCTGGTTTTGTCCACGCTGTGTGGGCTGCGTTGAGCTACGTGTGCACGGTTTGTCCTTTGCATGCTGCCAGAGAGGATTTCTTTGTGATGCAGAACATATACAGCTATGTCAGCACCTCGTGGGATGAAAAGACATACAAAAAATCAGAGTCAAAGGGTGATAAATCCATGCTGGCGTGTATGAGGGTAATGGGCGAACGCTACCAAACCACTGAGAACGATCTAAGACAGCAGAGATGCCAGGATCTGAGTAAACATATCCATCTTCATGCCATGTGAGATGAAAAACACACACAGACAGTGAAAACTCATAAATTTGGCTTGAAGAAGACTTATAACATTTAAATTAATGTAGTATTTCATTTAAAACGTTTTGTCACTCACTCCAGGGTTAGAAAATCCTGAGCTCTACGTCACACTGTCACTTAACATTCATGGACTCACCCATCTTGACTCACGACGGGGAAGGCTGTTGTTGGTTTAGCGTCCAGGAAACAGCAGAGAACGTCTCGGCTAGTTAGCATTAGCAACTCCACCACGCAGCAGAACTCCTCCAGGCTTGTGTTATTTGTAGAGATAAAACATCAACGTTGCATAGCAAACAGAGTCAGTGGTAGAGTCATGTTGCTGTTAGCCAATCAGAGGAGAGATGTCCACATATCAGGAAGTAAGACTCCAGATCCAGGGTGTTTCTCAGTGCGAAGGAACCTTGCCTTGATGTCTTGGCCTCGCCCCGGTTGCCTAGGAGATACATCATCGGGAGCCGCCAAGACATGTTCCAATGTTCATGTTCTACCGAGGCGTGTGTTCTCCGTTTGTTAGCCGTTTATCTGGCTGAGCAAGGATACAAGGGAGTAGCCAAGCCTTGGTCAAAAATTACCTACAATACACCGCGGTATTTTCAAAAAGACGGCGGATCAGAAGCCGGCAGCTACTTCGGGGATAATTTTCAAGTTTAAAAGTGAGTGAGCTAATTTAAAATGTTTATTTAGATCCAAAGAAGTTATCTATGGTTGGTTAGTAGCTTAGTAGTTGCAGATTCGGTTGCTAGCGGGTAGTAACTCGCTTATATATTTAATTTAATAAACATATACACAATTTAAAAAGTAAAAGGCTCGTTATATGTTTATATTGAAACTAATTCATATGAAATTCAATTAAATTCAAATTCAATTCAATTCAAAAATACGTTATTAATCCCAGAGGGAAACTGATTGTCAGTGACTTGATGCAATTTGCTGGGTTCCTTATATAGGAAAAATTATTTCTGATTGGCTTAATGAACTGTCCTGAATTGGAATGTTTATTATGTGAAGTGCCTTGAGACGACTCTTGTCGTGATTTGGTGCTTTATAAATAAACTTGAATTGAATTGAATTGAATTGATTGCTGTAGTAGCTCAGAATAATAATAATAATCAAGTCATCAAAGAGTTGTTGTATATTACAACGGCTGTTGGCAGGAAGGATCTCCAGTAGCGGTCAGTGTTGCAGCCAAACTGAAGAAGCCTCTGACTGAAGACACTCTTCCGTTGTCGGACAGTCTTGTGAAGAGAATGCTCAGGGTTGTCCATCATGTTCTTGATTCTCTGGAGAATCCTTCTTTGCATGATCTCCTCCAGCGGTTCCGAAACTGCTGAAACTCTGGCTGAGTCCTTGAAAGGGCTTGGAGTTCCTCCATCTTGTTGACCAGTGATCTCACATCGCCCATTATGATCGATGGAAGAGATGGTTTGAATTTCCTCTTTCTCTGTCTCCGTTTTGCTCCCGCTCTGCACCCACGCTTCTTGCGTTTTAGCTCATTTGGGATTTGTGGCTTCAGTTGAGGTATTATTTCAGCCTTTTCAGTGTTAATCAGCTGCTCCCGATTGTAAACCAGCTTGTTGCCATGGTTACACATCATAACAAATGCTCAAAAAGTGAAAAAAGCTAAAAAATAGCAGTAAAAATCCTCCAAGCTTCACAGCACCAGAAACAGAAAAGTAAAGTGTCCAAAAAAATTGTTTTTCTTGAGAAACTAGAAGAAAAAATGCCCAAGAAAAGGCAAAACTTACATATAGTCAACAGAGCTACTCCAACATGCAGCCACCCAGAGCAGCGCAGTTCCGGAAAAAATATATAAAAAATCTATAAATATATAACGTTATCTCCCGTGTCACGTGACGTTACATGACTGCCGTGGAAGCTGCGGTCACGTGATGCAAGTCTGTTCCATTTAACCGTTTTCTTTGACCAAGGAAGGACTGTGTCCTCGTAAGCAAGGCGCCTGGCCTCGCAAGACATCGCCTCACGAGGCCAGGCGCCTTGACATTGAGGAACACCCCTGTTGTGTTCAGCTCAACTCTGTCTGGCTCACTTCTAGTTCCTGAAACAGGTTCAGGCCTTCATTCCTACTAGAGACCTCTGCAAATGTATTCAACAAAAATGTCCAAACACTGATTAAAATTTGGGGAACAATCTGCCCTATGCATGACCTATAACCCCTAAACCCCTAGTTTTTATTGGTTCTGTTAACCGTTATTAGCCGTTTTAAGGCAGAGCCGTGTAAAGTTGTACCAACATCTTTAAAACATCATGTTTCTTCATGCTGAGGTCTGGACTTGAAGCCATTTCAGCTGTTTGTGCTTTGTCTTTATCAAGTATTCTGCGATGCATTGTGGGTAAACGTTAACGTGAGGTTTGTTTAGGTTAAACGTCGCTGATCTCAGCATTGCCGTTGGGTTCCTTTGAAAGGGATTAGCTTCAGTAAGAGAGCTCCGTCATGACAACTCTTCCAGAAACTTCCAGTCTCAAACTTTATCTTTCAGTGTCTTCGCCAACGCCAGAAGCCTTTCAGCTACAGCAGGCCTTCAGAACTTGGTGTGAACATGCAGGGATGTCCGCCCCTCGGAAGACTGGCAGGCATCCTAAATGTTGTGCAGGACACACTTAGATTATCCTGACTTAATTAACAACAGTACCGGCTAATTGTTTTTTATGTGTAACACCAGAATGGAGAGACACCGGGTGTGCAGGGCGTGTTGATGCGCTGCACCAGGGAAGCCGTGGACGTGTGGGGGATGTGGCTTTCCACAGATTAATACCAGGCCTCATCTTGGCTTAGTAAGAGTGGCTTTCCCGGAGAACTCAAGGGTGAACTCGCAGAATCGTCATAAAACAGCCCGAGACAACCCAGTAAAAAGCACAGGTTGAAGACCACTGTGGATGGATGGAAATTAGAATGCCTTCTGTTCCTGGAAAAGTTTGGGAATGTGCTGAAAGATGTTGCTACACTTCAGGGACACGGCACCCGGAGAACGCTCCGATGCTTGACATCTGTGTGTGTGTGTGTGTGTGTGTGTGTGTGTGTGTGGATAATAGCTGGAATAAAATAGAGAATTAAACATGTTCCCTGATCCACTCTATGTGGTCATCTCTAGAGAGGGACTTCCAACCGTCGGTGGGACTTACTGATTCTGGTTCTGGCTTCGCTCAGTTCTTCTACAAGTTTTTTGGCTTCGGCCGATCTGCTCAAAAGAATCCAGATGTTAACAAACCACAATAGTTACAAAAATACTTAGTTAAAACTTAGGATGTTAAACATTTACAACCAAGAAAAAGTTACTTTTACTTTAACAGAAGATTAGGAAAGTAAATGCATTAGATGCAGATTAGAATAAAGTTTAAAGAGCAAGTCACCCCCTACCAGAGTCTAACTCCATTCTCTCTTCATGTTTAAAAAATGCAACAAATGCTGTTGCCTGGCAGACCGAGAGGGCGGAGCCACTAACAAATACACACACACACAGGCTCACCACAGCATTGTGACATCATAATGTACCAGTTTACATCATAGCATACCTCTTAGCCAATAGCGGTGGCAGATTTAAATTAGAATACAGTGCAGAGTTTTTACCTGACAACGGCACAACACTGACAGTTTTAGGCAGAATATTAAAATTTTAACTGAGATGCACTGAAGTGCAAAACTATGGACTACACGTGTCTGCAGCACGATTAGACGCTCGTTTATTTAGTTTATCAGGGGGAAAAAGTTGATTTGGGGGTGACTTGCTCTTTAAGGATACATAATCCCCGGAAAACCAACTACCAAACAGCTGTTCTTGGCACAGACCTTTCTTTGAATATCGTCTTGTTGTCTTCTATAGTTGAACGCTCCTCATGATCCCTTATGAAGATCTCAAAGGCCTCCTGTTTTACCATGGAAAGCTGTGAACCTGATAAAAACAAATCTGCACTGAGACACAGAATATGGTTGTCCTTTTCTTATTTACAGGTACACAATATCACAATTATTCAAAGTTTAAGGTTTGATTTGGTTTTAGGACCTCTTCACACAAATAACCGTTACAACATTGTCTTCCTGCCATTACAAATAGGAACGATGGGAAAATCCTCACTCAGCGGTTCATCCTCCAGCATCATCACCTCCGACCTGACAGCCAGATGTGAGATGATATTCCGGACCTCCCACCTTCTAGCAAACATGAACCACAGGAACTAATACAGCTGTCGGGTTATTGGGAATAATATAAACACAAACATAAACCCCTCTGGCAGCATTCCCAGCGTTTTATATGCTTGTAATATTACCTAATAAGCACGTTTACATCTGCTTCAAATATAATGTTACCAAACATTTGATCTTGTCAGCTGTGATTCTTCATCTAGCTGGAGAACATTCACGGAAATAGTTCAACAACATGGAAGCATTCAAAGATTCCTCCCAGCCTCTGAAATCCTGGAGCGTGACACCAAATTCTGATAAATCTGACTGCTACTACTTATTATTATTAGTAGTATTTATTTTACAAAGCTGTTCAGGTCAGATGTGCACAGGACTGCAGCTTCTGTGAGATTTATTGTTGTACAATAAGGAATTTTATTTTGTCATCGTTAAGAAGCACTATCTATCTATCTATCTATCTATCTATCTATCCATCCATCCATCCATCCATCCATCCATCCATCCATCCATCCATCCATCCATCCATCCATCTATCTATCTATCCATCTATCCATCTATCTATCTATCTATCCATCCATCCATCCATCCATCCATCCATCCATCCATCCATCCATCCATCCATCCATCCATCCATCCATCCATCCATCCATCCATCCATCCATCCATCCATCTATCCATCTATCTATCTATCTATCTATCTATCTATCTATCTATCTATCTATCTATCTATCTATCTATCTATCCATCCATCCATCCATCCATCCATCCATCCATCCATCCATCCATCCATCCATCCATCCATCCATCCATCCATCCATCCATCCATCCATCCATCCATCTATCTATCTATCTATCTATCTATCTATCTATCTATCTATCCATCTATCCATCCATCCATCCATCCATCCATCCATCCATCCATCCATCCATCCATCCATCCATCCATCCATCCATCCATCCATCCATCCATCCATCCATCCATCTATCTATCTATCTATCTATCTATCTATCTATCTATCTATCTATCTATCTATCTATCTATCTATCTATCTATCTATCTATCTATCTATCTATCCATCCATCCATCCATCCATCCATCCATCCATCCATCCATCCATCCATCCATCCATCCATCCATCCATCCATCCATCCATCCATCCATCTATCTATCTATCTATCTATCTATCTATCTATCTATCTATCTATCTATCTATCTATCATCAGCTGAGGCGGCTCAGGCATCTGATTAGGACGCCTCCCAGGTGAGGTTTTCCAGGTACGTGCCACTGGGAGGAGACCTAAAGGGAGACCCAGGACCCGCTGGAGGGACTATGTATCTCGGCTGGCCAGGGAAAGCCTTGGGATTCTCCCCGAGGAGCTGACCCAGGCTGGGGAGAGGCAATCGGACCTGGACCATCTGACTCTGGACAAGTGAACGAGAATGGATGGATGGATGATTTTAACAGCCTCAGTTTGGAGAAGCAGAGAGAAGTTCTGTTTGTACAAATATATCCATGAATGGTCACAAGGGGGTCGGTTACAAATTGGCTTGAAACAAGTGCGATCTCCAAAAACGTCATGATATTTACATTGTTGTCATTTCAAATATTCCTGAAGAAATATAATAAAACCTCATCCAGAAGTGCTTCAGCAGCTACTGCCACAGCTAATTTCTATCAAAACGGACCACATAACTAAATAAGTTAACATGACTAACGGTGTAAAATGGCATTAGCTTAAGATGCTACGAGCATTGCTCTGACAACAGGCCGTACGCTTGTCTTCCTGGTTTCAACGGATCTGTTTTGTGAAATGAAGATAATTCTTCAACAGGTGAGAATTATTGCTCATGGTGTTTTTTTATTTTTATTTTTTAACCAAACGTCTAAATATCTGCACTATTCCTTTAACACAACTTTTTATGGCTGATTTTATTGTTTGCTTCAGAAAATTCGATCCTAGCAACACAACTTAACAAAAATACCTTTTAGACGGGTTATTTTCCCCGTTTACGGACCTCCCATCAGAAATACAGTCATCAGAGAAAATCAGCTCCTAATCTGCTGACAGTTTCTGCAGAGATAATCAGAGAACACCCTCTGTGTCCACAGCTATTATCTTTATAAGGGTCGCTTTGTGGAAAGAGAAGAGCAAATTATAGAGCATTCAATCAGCATGAAAGGTTCCCATGGAAACTTCATTATACTGCTGTTAATCTTGTCGGGACGGCGGCAGTCACCCTCGGGGTAACTCTAGAGGCTCTTGGCTGAAGCTGAAGAAGCCTCAGATTAAACCTAAACTCATACACGTACAAACATCAGTGACCCGGGGAGCGAGAGGCAGAGATACATGCTACGCATTTGTTTTGAATTACAACAGAGTAACGAACTATGATGTCATGTGCTTTTGGTTTGGTTTTGTGGGTCAAACAGTATAGGTGCTTCCAGATGTGAAGCATATGGTCTATGCAGACTTCACGTTTTCTTAATCTCACTGCCACTTTAACAAAAACAAAAATATGCACCTTTTTCCATCATAATATAATAAATATGCATATTTTGTTTCTTCATCTGATTCAGAATTTTGCCTCAGAAGATCCCCGGAGCACAAGTGTTATCTTTGATGCACCTGGAACTCCCCAAAGTGCTTTTAAACACCGCTTCTTCCAAAAGGGCAGAGTCCCTCTGGAGAGCCGTCATGTTTTCCCTGCTGCTTAGCAGCTGATGGTGTCTCCTGCTCAGTTACAAACGCAGCAGAAAGAGATGGACGTTCAGCACCAAGTGTGGGAACGTTGGAGGAACATTCCAGAGCAGCCATGCAACTGTGAGCAAAGGATTTCAGGATTTGGGACATTTGGATGCACAGTAACTTCTACACAAAGGAAAATATGTCATTTAAAGTGAATTGTGATGCTATTGTGGTACATATTGGATTTTTAACTGCTGAACAGAGACATGTGAAGATGATTTTAGAATAAATAAGTTAATTGGTTGAACAATCAGGCCAAAACCTGAAAAAACACCCTGAGAGCATCACGTTGGATGTCCTCAAAATGCACTTTCCTCTCATTATTTTACGAACAGACTTCTGGGTTCTTTGGTAAATCCAGTAAAAACATAACTTGGTTCACTTAGCAGTCAAACTATTTTGACTGCTGCAAAAGGGACGTATGTTTCCCCAGTAAATCAACAGTTATCTTTAAATGCTTGATGAGAACTTTCGTCAAAACAAACGTTTAAAAAAGGCACAAGTGCCTTTATAAATGATAAGGTGATGAAGTTTGTGAAAAGCCTGAGGAGGACAAGTGCAAAGATGGCTAAAAGGCCCTAACAGACTTGATTTACATTAAGGACCATTAACAAACTCCTTACTCTGTTTTTTAAAGCTTAAATGTTAAGATGATTTGGATTTGGTAGCAAAAAAGTGGAAAAAAAGGAAGGAAAATTCTTTGCTAAGGCAACCCAGATGACAGCTCCAGCTCCATATTGTATTACAACCCTCTGTAAACAGACTGGTGCACGCTGCACATCGTTTATCAGCGCTTATGAGGTTTTGTTTTATGGGCATCCTTCAGAAAGCTGCTTTCTGTCCCTTTTATAGACTGATTTAATCCTGACTGAGTTCAAACGCGTTTGTTTTCCAAAAAGCCTCTTGGTTTCTGCCGGCCTTATTAACACGCTGGGCACCGTCGCCCACATGTCAAAGCACATGAGAGAGCTGTGGTTGGGAAAGACAGCAGTGCCGTCTGATGAGTCTCTGGCTCTACCCTCTGCCTTGGCATTGACCGAGCTCGTTAGAGGACCCTGGTTTATCATCACACTTAAAGCTCCACTTAGACAACATTAAATGGGAAAAGCCAGATAAATGCTACTTCTGCCTTGGAGCACAAACACAGAGTTGGCTTGAATGTCAGTGACCTCTGCTTCCCTGCATTTAAACCAACTTTATGTCTAACGAAATAAAGAGAAATCACCGACAACCACAGAGGAGTCTCTGCAGCAGAACACTGTTATTTAGGGACATCCGTGGTCTTCAAAGGTTTAAATATTAACCTACATGCCACAGCACAACAACGGCATTATCTAATCAACTCTGGAAACTCTCAGTTCAAGACAAACATGGGAGGAAGACCTGGACGCGTAGGACAAATCTGGAATTTGTGGTCTAGTTCGGGGCTTGCCTTGGTTGCAAACATTGTGAAGAAAAATGAGTTTGAAGGCATTGGTCTGCAGCAGCTGGATGATTTTACATTACGTATGAGAGGTCTCACTCACTAACAAACCGAGGAATACTTTTGGAAGTACGACTGATTCCATATGCAGCCGAACGTGAACACCTTCTTTACCCCCATCGCCTGCATTAGCATCATAAAGGAATCAGACAAGAAGAGGAGAAAATCTAAAGAAGAAGATATTTATGAAAACACACATTGAGCCAGTCACTATTATCTGAGTTCAAACTCACCAACAGAGCTGAAATGATAAGTTGGATGCCAACTGGCTCATGAGGACTGTAGTGTCCAGCTCTGATGACCAGTAGTAGTAGTACAACCTCAGTGGCATGAAGAACGAAGCTACTGACTGAAGCTGATGTAATACGACATCTTGTAGGTCCAGGTTTGTAGATCCCATTCCGGTCTAAACCGTGTTTTCGTTTTTACCGAGCATCATTCTTGGCCCCCGGTCTCTGCTTCGGGATCCAGACTCGCATTACAAGCTTTAAACTCATCAAATTTTCACAAGCAACAAATGATATGTTTGATAAACTGCACTTTATAATGTTGCATCGCTGACAAGACGAGACTAAATATTTCAATACACACAATCCCACCGATGACATTCAGTAGATATAAATATCTTATGATTTCAGACTCCTCTCCAGTTGATGAAATCCACAAATCAAGGATCAGCCGTGGCCCACAGGCACCCACCATAGCATACTAAGACTCAGCGGGACCACAAGAGGCTGCTCACATTCCTACTGCGAAAGATCACCTTTCTGCAGGCTTAGCACCCAATATATCGCAAAAACAACACTTGCTCCTACTCAGAGAGGCTGGATGTTACATTTCAGGTTGTCAGCGTGTGTGAAGATAGAAAATGAAGAGAATGAATGTAAGTACCTGTTTTGATGCGCTGAACAGCTCGTCCATCCTGTTCTAGGGGGACCGTGCTGTCTTCTTTTGGCAGAGACGCTATGGACACTCGTTCTTCATGGACCACTGGGAGGATCTCCATGCTTTCCTCTTTCACCTGACCTATGGTGGACTCCTGTCCTCCCTGGTTCTTCTGTAAGCTCTCCGGGTTTCTTTCTTTCAGCTGAGGCCTTGCAATGCGTAGGCCTTCGTGGTTTGCAGGAAAGTTCTCCACGTTTCTGTCTGCTGGCTGTGGCGTTGAAGGCCCTCTAGCTCTGTGGTCAACTAAAGCATGTTCTTGTCCAAAATGAAGCCTTGCGAACATTTGTTCTCTTTGGTTTATTGGAAAGGTGTCCATATTTCCCTCTCTCAATGGTGGGATCGCAGACGCTGTTCGATTATCTGTTAAAGTTGATTTGTTTCCTTCAACAGACTGAAGGTCTGGCTGGTTTCTGTCTCTCAGCTGTGGAACTGTAAACAACCTTACACCATGTTCTGCTGTAGCACTTTCCACTTTATCTATCAAAGGGAGACCTTGTCCTTGCCGTTCTTCTGGAAAGGTGGTCATGTTCGCCACTCTCGGCTGTGGATCTGAACTCAAACCCTTCTGCGAGGACAGGGTTTGGTTTTCGGAGATGACGGCTAGCTGAGCTGTAGCATCATCAGCCCTTTTCTTTTCTTTTTTCAGAATCCTCACTAGGATACCTGTAGGAATCAGTTAAAGATCTGAATCGTATTTCGTTGGTCAAACACACACATGGAAAAAAAACCTTGTTTCCAGAAATGTGTGTGTGGTTCGCTCTCAGAGAAGCTCTAGCTTTAAATCCTTCAGAGACTCTTCCAAGGATACAGTCTTGTTCCCAATAGTTTATTTTGGATTTTGTTCCATTACTGAAAAATTGGGCTCCAATCGGCTATTTTGTGTAAATGAGTAGCATCCGTAGTGATTTGAGACACGTGTTCAGCATCTGATGGAAAAGTCTCGAGAAGGTGTCACAGTCTGGAACGAATTAGTGGAGAACAAAGATTTTCACTAAATCTTCCCCATGTTTGTGCAAACTGCTTTTATTTACGTTGGGTTGTGATCTCTAACGTGAACTTTCTTCTTGCCTTTTCTATGTGAAGCACTTCTGATTTTCATCTCCAAGAAAACGTATCTTCCTTCCTTACACCAGTTTTAGGACGTGAACTGGAAAGATGCTTCTCAAAAAGGAAGATTTTTGATGAGATGCATAGAAATGGATTTTCTGTAAAACATCAGGAGGATTTCTAGGTAAAAACACACAAATTACGCCAAAAAGTCCTTATTGAAACAACAAGGGTGCTATACAAGTCTTTGCACAGCTTCCTAAAGGTTGGTTGATGCTTGATGCGTCCGCGAGGTCCGCACGGCTCCGCGCGGAAAAGTTGCGTCATTTTAACAGCCACGCCCCTCCACCGCACCTCTGCAGAGTAAGGTCTAGCTGCAGAAGTAGCCCCGGCCAAACACGCCCCTATGTACAAAACACGCGTGCATGTACGAAGACGAGAACTCGCATGCGTGTTGCAACAGACATTATTACTATTTCTTTATTTATTTTCTTTCAATTGTGTTGTTCGCTGGGAGGGCCGCCGTTATTGAGCTCGGGGGTAGCTCAACAGGGGGGCGTGTTTGGCCGGGGCTACGTCTGCAGCTAGGTATTATTGCCTCCGCACGGCCCAAATTTTCCGCACCGCGCACCTAGGAAATTTTCTAACCACGCGGACAGTCGGACGTGGAAAAACATGGCGGACCGGCAAGAACTAGTATGGCAGAGGTTGGTAAATACAGACATTTGTATGATTCAGCTCTCAGAGATCACCGTGATCAACATGTAGTTAATAATTCTTGGAGAGAAATAGCTCGCACTGTCAGGAAAGACGAGAACGCTGTTAAAAATGCTGGAATGCCATGTTGTAAACAGTAATTTCTACTTCTACTATGGTGTAGTGTTGGATGAGCTCCATGCTGCCCCCTACAGTTTGGGAGAATATCGGCTCACCGCAGAGACGAGCCGCATGAACCATAAACGCTGCGAGTTGTGAAGCGTGTTCCATCCGCGAGCCGCATCACCAAGCGGAAAGTGAATGCGTCAAGCATAAACTGAGCTTAAAGAAGCAGAACATCCCGGTATGAACAGGTAACTGAAGTGTGTTTGATGCCCTAATCCCCACCCATCATTTAAAGTCACACGGCACACTGGCCAGCTATTCATTCACCTCCCTCATATGAGATTAACAGACTTCTTTGTGGCGAGCCTAACGATTGTGGTCATCAGATAATTTAGGCCGTTCAGATGAAAAATGGTTGGAATGTCGATGATGAGTCGATCATTTCTGCAGCAGAGGCTGTTCCTGCCAGCCAACCCAAAGAGGATGTCAGCAGGAACAATAACACAACGCAGCCACGACTCCAGATGCAGCATCCAGTGCAACTAATCATCCAAAAGCACCAAAATCTAACAGACAGGCATCCAAACAAACTACGAAGGACAAGTTTTACAGAACATCTCACACATTCAGACGGCTGTGCAATATGTTTTTCCATGCCTGGTATTTGATTTCTTCTCTATGTTGAACCTAACCACAGAACATCATGAAAGTATCTGTAGAAGGTTGCGTGTCACATTTTTGGACCGCGGCACATTCCCATTAGCTCAAAACGCTGTGGTCAGACTCACTCACGAAGTCCGCTCTTCATTTGTCTCATCCTTCTCCATTAGAGCGTTCAATCACGTCACAGGAAATAAAGGAAATGTCTTTAAAATAAGCTGCTAGAAACGAGCTCCACATTGCTCCAGTTTCAGCGTACCGTGAAAGTGCATCATGAGTCATAAATCATTCAAGTAAAAACTTGTTTCTGTGCACTCAAGATTAATTATTTCAATTAATGTTTCAAGAAAATTAGTTTAGGTTTTCCACCAGAACATTGGAAACGTTTACTTACTATAAACAATATTCAAATTTAAACCAAATGAAGGCTTAAACATTAGAGATCCAGACTAATAATAACTACCCCTCCACTTCCTGAGCGGTGTCTGGTTGGAGGAACACGGTTAGCGTCCAACAGGACTGATGAGCTAACAGCTAGTCTGTTTATTCAGACCAAATGCTATTTCTGCAGTATTAAAACATCTCATAGCTTCAAAAATGGTTTGGCAGGTATCCGTTCATGCATCTGTCAAAAGAGTAGTCCATCCATCCATTTTCAGCCGTTTACATGGACTCGTGTCGTGGGGGCAGCAGCCTAAGCCGAGAGGCCCAGGCTTCCCTCTCCCCAGCCACGTGGGCCAGCTCCTGCGGGGGAATCCCAAGGTGCTCCCTGGCCACCTGAGAGACACAGTCCCTCCTGCGTGTCCTGGGTCTTCCCTTGGGTCTCCTCCCAGTTGGACGCGCCTGGACAACCTCAACGGGAAACCTCATCTAGTGTGATGCAAATGCAAAGGTGGTCTAAAGGTTTTCAAAACAGCATTTGCACAAATCCACGTAAAATAATCCTATGAGCAGATGAAAGCTGCAGTGGCAGCATTTCATTCCCCTTTCTTTTCTGCAGAGTTAGGCTTCTGGTCAAGATGTTCTCCTTAAACACACATTTATCAGAATTCTGGTGAGACACAATTTGTGTTGAAACTTCAGTCTTTAGTTAGAAGAAGACGATCTGGATAATGGATCCGTACGCTTCGGCCAGTGCTGTTTTATTTAATGTTTTGTTGTTTACTACATGTTTGTTTTTGTTTGTGACCTGTGCCTGTGAAAAGTGCTTTATAGATAAACTTCTTCTTCTTAAATCCTTTTCCTGTTAAGTCTGTTTTCACCAGTAAAGGTCAAAGTTTACTGCAGAAGGTTCCAGACAGACCGAGTCAGCTCTGGCATTTCAGGTCATAACTAGTCCATATAACGCGTGCGTGTTTTCCCACGACTACTCTGGAACCAAACATGTAAAAGTTAAACAAAACTGCAGGTTTCATGTATATGTGTTGCTTCTTCACACACTAAATACATCAGATGTCAGCGTACGTTCAGAGACCTGATCAGATTCAAACATCAAAGAGCTTTTCTGTGAAAGTAAGTCAAGTTTATTTGTAAAGCACTCATCTCAGAAAGAAAAGAGCAAAGCTGTGTGTTTACTGGTAACCAGCAACATTTCCAATCTGCACAAGCTCTTCTAAGCTATTTCATCCTGCCAGTATTCATGTTCTCACTGAATCTGACCTGAACAAGTTGAACTGTAATCAGATATATGGACCGAGAGTTGGACTTGATGATATTTCTTCATCCTCATCAACACAAGGAAGGTGTAGTGATGATGACTACAAATCAAGGTGGTAGAGAGCTCTAAACAAAACAGCAACCAAGCTTTCAAACAGTACGTTGAGACATCAGGATGGATTACATCCACCCATCCATCCATCTTCCAGCTCAGCACCACGACAGACCGGTACAACGCCCGCATCACTGCAGATGTAGCACCAATCCGCCTATCGACCTCACGCTCCAGCTTTCCCTCACTCGTGAACAAGACGAGGCAGGACCTCATCCCTGACCCGGAGAAGGCCTTCTACCCTTTTCCAAATCAAGACCATGGTCTCAGATTTAGAAGAGCTGACTCTCATGCCTACTGCTTCACACTCGGCTGCGAACCGCTCCAGCAAGAGACCCGATCCTCAGGCCACCAAAACGGATCCCCTCAACACCTGGAAACCCTGTCTATAAAAGTTATGAACAGAATCTGTGACAAAGGGCAGCCTTGGCGGAGTCCATCTCTCACTGGAAATGAGCTCAAATGACTGCTGACAATAGGGACCGAGCTCCGACCTAACAGCCTGGTACCCCATAGTCGCGAAGTACCCCTCACAGGGGTGAAACGCCTTCTCTAAATCCACAGAACACATGTAGATCAGCTGGATGGATTACATTCACATCAAACTCATAAATCAGCGAAACATCCTTTACTGAGAAATAAAGCACAATTTCAATCATGAAAGACTTTCCTGCTATCCTTATTCTAAGTAAGGATGATGATGCAGAATAAAATAATTTATTCTCTGGAGAAAATAGATGTTATGCCTGTACATGAGTACCCGTGGTGCTCTAAAGCACTGCAACCACGACGTGTGTGACTAAAGAAAGGATGACACGACTTTCAGTCGATTATTTCCACACAGAGACACTTTGAGCTTTGTATTGTTTCTGTACTGAAGGTCTTTGGATAAGAGAAAAAACTTGCTAGAAATGTTTGGGCAAGGCAAGAAACTGAAAACACCATAAAACATGTTGTGTGTGTGCATTCTCATGAACATAGGCCAGATCTTTCCATACATTCACCAAGACAAGATAAGCTCTTATTCTCTTTTGGAAAACCACATTTTTCCATTTTATACCGCAGGAAGAAAGTCTTTTATCAACCCTCTAGGCCCACTTTCCACCTCAGTAGTAAAATACAACCGATAAATCTCCCTCTGTACGCATGAATCTGTAGGAGTAAACTCTAAATCTTGTACATCGTAGCACAACTCCTGAATCATCTCTGGGTCCTACTGAGAGTAAATGTGAACCTGATGAGATCCCTGGCTCAATGCTAGAATCTATGCTAATGAAAAAGCTTCAGCCGAGCGTAAAGCTGGTTGGTTTGGATGCGACTACAGCACATGGTTCTATAGATGGGCTTGATTGGAGGTCCACTCACGTCATCTATAGTAATGAATACTGATAAGCTAACACTGCAGGTAAACCAAGTCTCCTGGTGTGCAAACTGAACACTCTGAATGTTGTCTGATCAGAAGTTAGCATTCTAGACATTCCCAAACGTGAAAGGAGATTAACTATGAATGGAAACAGGATCAGTAGTCTGTCATTAGCATGCAAAGACTAATGGTGTTGTCAGTGTGTGAGGCGTCAGTTGGTCCTCCTGGTGCCACCAGATGTTGCTGGCCACCAGATGTTGCTGTGGAGCAGAACACTAATAATGTGTAACTGAAAGGTGAGGTTCACGGAGGAACCGTGTAATTCTTCTTCTTTTGAAGTACGATCTGTCTCTCTGAGTTGCACGTGCATGCTGAACAAGAAAATAGTCTCCTGTCTTGCATTAGCTGCTGGAAGGACAAAGGAGGGGAAACACTCGGGTCAGAAAGAGCAAATCTCTTCTATGTCACATTGTGACATTTGCATTCAAGGACTCATCAACGTTGGCTTGTGACCACGGAAGAGTGTTGAGTCATTTGGAATCGTAGGACGCCCAAGGAACATCTAGCCTTTCTCGCATCTGATTGGCTAGAAGGGCTCTCCTACAATTGGCCGTTTCATTTAGCAGCAAACCGTCTTCCCTCGCTAAGTGCAGACTGTCCTCCTGCCACCAACAGAACAGCTGTTTTAGGGAGTTTGTATGGAAAATGTGAACTTAGCGCTATAATAATCATTCTGTCCTGCAAAACCATTTTTTTTGTTTATTTTAAATAACTGAAAAACGTAAAATGCAAACTTATAATAAATCTTGTTACATTCATCACACTGTTGGACTTACTTCACACCGGTTGTCTCTTAAAGATTGAGGTTATCTTATTAAAGCAGAGTAGACAGGATAAACGTGAGGGCCTGGATATGAAATATAAAACTCCTATTTTACCCAGCTGTGTGCAGCAGGTCTGTTTCTCTTCTAGAATAATCAAAACTTATAAAAAAAATAGGTCTAATCAGCTTTGTATACATTTTTTATTGATACACATTTAATCAGAGGATGAGAGATGTGCTCTAACTTGTGAACAGCATTAACTTGTTAAAGTGAAGACCTAAGATGGCCTAATAATTAAGTAATAAGATAACTCTAATGCTTACAGTCAGTAGATATAAAGTCAGTCTAGTGTGAAAAAAATGCAACAAGATTTATTCACATTTGACATTTTTCAGGTTCTTTTATAAAAGAAACTGAAACTGGTTTGTTGAGAAGAGGACAGAGTGGTTACTATAGCGATGAGTTCACATCTTCTTTAAAAAACTCCTCAAGATCACCTGCAGCGAGGGAGACGGTTTCCTCTTACATCAAATAGCCAATCGTAGGAGAGCCCTTCCAGCCAATCAGAGGCGAGAAAGGTGGGGCCTTCCTTGGACATCCTACGGTTCCACATGACTCGTCCAAGAAAAAGCAGAGCGCTTCTTGGCTAGTAAAAGCTAACCATTAGCATTAGCACCGCAACAACATTCAAGCTTGTGTTATTTGTGGAAATAAATCATGTTGCATTTTTTACCTAAGAAAGAAGAGCGAACGAAGGCAGCGGAAGAGTCGTGTTGCTGTTAGCCAATCAGAATGTCAAAGACACACAAACACTGAGCAGAACGTGTAACACCATAGATGAATGAAATGTCGATCCTAGGTGCCGTCTGTTGGACCCCACTGATCCAGGTTACTCTGAGAGCTGTTTCTCCTCATGGTTTGCAATGTTTATTGGTTCTCTTTGTTGCACCATTATGTTATTAGTTGATGCATCATCCCACCAGCAGTCAGCTAAGTGTTACCAGGTGCTCCAGCTCCCTTGCAGAGCCAACCACATAGATAGTTATACACTTTTATAGGCAACATTCCTACAATTAGCCCCACAAAGACTTGGTGTCAGTGTGGGAACAGCACGCCTGCAGCAGCAACAGCTTTAGCACATTAATGCTCGTGGTGTCCAGCCCTTACAGAGACACGGGCAGCATGCTGATGAGGTGGTAGATACTGCTCCGAATCCAAACTCGGTCAGCCTATAGCGTTACACGTCGGGGACAGACGAGCTCGCCCAGAGGATTGACTGTTTAGGCTACTTCAACCATATAAACAAACTTCACTGTTTAATGAGTTAAAAGCTGCTGAATCAGTAGCATGACTGCATTACTGCTCTGTTTTAACGTGCACAATGACAGTTAAGACTATTACATTTGCATAATGTGAAAACCAGCGTGTGACAGCTTGAGAGGGAAAATATACAAAGGAGTGCAGAACTCCTATTACCCACATTTGGTCCAAGAGACACTATAGTGAAATGGCTGCATGATAATGTTCAGTTTATTTTGGAGAGCTGAGGATTTGTGGGTAAAATAATCAAGCAGATTTCTCTGTTTATGCTGTGATTTAACGATAAACCACAACGACGGGCTGCGTGCAGAAAAGTCCCATAAAGTCATTAGAAAGATCAGATTCAAACGCAAAACTGCAACAGTGATCAGCAGCGCAGCAGCCACGAGACGAAGATTTATCTGAGCAAACAGTATTAAATATGGGCTATGTGTGTTTTGGAGCGCTGGCTAATAGCATTCCTTTATTTTTGTGTATGAGGAAGTGCAGGAATTTAAAAACGCAGCGAGAAACCCAAAGGTTCCTCTGAGACCCGTCTTGTAATGAGGATTTTCTAATAATATGCCCAATTTGTTTTCCTAATTGTTCTCCATAATAGACCTTGAAAGTAATTTCCTTAGCAATCATTTACTCATATTGTTGAGCTAAAAAAAACATACTTGGGCTATATTTTTCATGTATTTAGGTCAACAGAAATTGCTGCTGTCATATAAAAAAGTGCAGCTAAAATAGGTTTAAACGTTAAGTTTCAGTTGTTTGCATAACGCTGCGATACCTCAACATCAAAGGTTGAGTCCAACGTTCACGAACCACGGAAACCGTTTTGGACCCATGAGGATCCAGTAATAGGAGATATTAGGGATGAGCGAGTACACCACTATCTGTATCTGTATCTGTACTCGGAGTGGGCGTGGCCTAACCCGGAAATGGGTGTGGTTTGACCAGAAGTGGGTGTGGTTTACATCAATACGTTATTTTAAGTCTGATCAAAAGTTGCTATGTGTATTGTTTATTTGAAAACTATTTACAGAGCAGCCTCAGAGTTGAGATTAAATGTTTTAGATCACAATAGTAAAGGAACTACGACAGAACAAGTTTTTCAGTAAAATCAGAACATTAATATTTAAGTGCCTGAATTAAGAGAGAGAGAGAAGAAAAGATCTTTTCCGTAGCGCCTCTCAAGATAAAAAGCACGAGGCGCTTCACAAAAACAAAACATGTAAAATAGAAAACGGAGTTTAGAAAATGATTAAAATATAATTAAAATGAGCAAAAAATAGACAATTGTGAAAAAAAATGTAGAGAAAGGGAGAGAGTGAATAGGAAAGAGGGAGTGGATCCTGAGGAAGAGGAGAGAGAGGGAAAAAAAAACCCGACCGGAGCGGAGGCAGTGACTGACACAGCACGAGCCGTTTTCAGCTCTGTCTTGTCAAATGCACCACGTACGTTACGAAAAAAGTAACTTTAAAACTTTAAAACAGGGAGCACTGAAGAAACGTGAACAGTGATGCAAGCACAGAGAGATCCGTTACTGTGTGTGTGTGTGTGTGTGTGTGTGTGTGTGTGTGTGTGTGTGTGTGTGTGGATGGACCGGATGCGGACTGAGCTGTGAGCTCCCGGCTGCAGAGTTTTGTGTGTAGGGAGGGGCGGGCGCTCTATGTGACTGGCCAATCACAGAGCGTGAAGACAGTCAGTTACCCAATGAGGATTTTCCTTCAGCACGATTACAGATGTTTACGAGTTTTACTCGTTTCATGCTCGTACTCATCAAAAATACTTTATCCGTACCGGATACTCGTCTGAAACGAGTATCCAGCTCATCCCTAGGAGATATATTTGATCAACACTTAGCAAATGGAGCTATTATTGTTTGAATGCTGGTACAGCCGCATTACCTGGGTACTTCAGTCTATTTATGACAATAGTTTGGTTTTCTGATGCCGAGTGGCAAATGGGATTAAAGCTTATTTAAGACTTCCAGACATCAGTGGCGATGCTAATATGAAATTGTGCCAAAGGATACTGATCTCACTATCACGCTGCTTAAGCAGCTCCTTTAATTTGACCACTTCTGCTGCGCTGACGTCATTCCTCCTTTCTGGTGACTTTTGTCGCTCATTGCTCCCATTTTTTCCGCCTTGTTTGTCCAAAACCATTGACTGTAGACAAAAAACAGAAATCTTCACAACTCAAAATGTGCCTTTCTGCATTTGTGCATCATCCTGAAACAAAAACAAGCTGGAAGAGCAAGCAAGCATGGAAAACAAAGAAGAAATGAAATTTAAAACAGACAAATTCCAACAGTAACGGTGGAGTGTGACGGGGGTGATGTGAGCTGGAATGTAAACCTAACAGAAGATAGAGTTTTGTGGATCATAACAAACTGTAGGAGATATAAACAGACACTTAAGCTGGATCTGGAACCGCGTCTGGCGGATTCTCGAGCGCCATCCAGCCCAGAACTCAGGAACACGGCTGTCAGAAGCAATTAATGAAACATTTTTATGGAAATTCTTTATAAGATTTGGTTGAATAAAGTCAGATATCTAATAATAAAGCAGAAAATGGCAAAACACGGAGTCTTTTAAGAATGAGGTGGAGCATTTATTAAAAATGGAGTCTAATCGGGTTTTTCTTTAGAAAACAAAAGAAGGGGAGAGATTAAAATTCCTGCTGGGTGAAAGTGAAGTAGTTTAGTCTTTGTTTCTCACAATCAGTCAGGTCTAAACATACCCTTTGCTGTAATGTTAGCCCGGCAATGGCATGTGGATCATGTGATCATGACTAGAAAGACAAACAGCAATGATGGACGAGCCCAAAACTGCAGGATAAACAGGAAGAGACAGCTGAGGATATTTCACCTTCAACAGGGAGAAACTGCGCCGGATCTTCCTCATGTCTGGACCCAGTGACAGGGTCCCGTCTGGGTCAGGGTTCTCCACGAAAGCCCTGACTAACTCTTCCAACCTGAAAAACCAAAGACAGAGGTCAAATTCAAAGCTTTCATCCTCAAATACTTCCTTGGCAAAAGCTGAAATGGTGAAGAACACAAAGCTTAAGTGGTCAGAGATAACTATTTCATCTTTAGAGTGTTTTTCAGGTCCTGTGGATCTACCTGCTGATAAACTGTCACTAAATGATCGTCGTAACACCGAACGCTGCCATCGGGAAAACACCAGGAGCCGGGCGGTTCTAATGCAGACGCGACCGCGGCGCTTTTTAAATCCTGCTAGATGTTCAACCTGGAAACGCGCTAGATTTACATGATGGAGAGACTTCACAACAACAGTGGTGGGATTTTTCAGAGAGCTGCAGACATCAGAGTGCCTTTTGATGCAACGCACTGAATCTAAAACAGGGAATTGTTTTCTAGGAGGTTGTGGATGTGACACATCAGAGATAACGTAGAAAGTCCGTCTCTAGAACTTTGCATCGTGAGCCCAGAGTGAGACAAAAGTACTCGTGGAGGTTGTGATCTTGGTGTTCAATGAGCAGCGTTGGATCCTCCAAAGAGGCTCAAGTGCAGGCAGCTGGACTTCTTCAGCTGTCTTCATTCGAAGCCCTCTGGAAAGCCACGGCGCTGGTGACCCAGTTGGATTCCTTACATTAGAAATGATATTGCTAGTTAAAAACGTGTGTGTGTGTGTGTGTGTGTGTGTGTGTGTGTGTGTGTTGCAGGGTTTAGACATATTATTTAAGTGTGTGATGTTGTCGTCATCTTCCTCCGCTTATCCGGGTCCGGGTCGCGGGGGCAGCATCCCAACTAGGGAGCTCCAGACCGTCCTCTCCCCGGCCACCTCCACCAGCTCCTCCGGCAGGACCCCAAGGCGTTCCCGGACCAGACTGGAGATGTAACCTCTCCAACGTGTCCTGGGTCGACCCGGGGGCCTCCTGCCGGCAGGACATGCCCGAAACACCTCCCCGGGGAGGCGTCCTGGAGGCATCCTGACCAGATGCCCAAACCACCTCAACTGGCTCATTTCGATCCAGAGGAGCAGCGGTTCTACTCCGAGTCCCTCCCGAATGTCCGAGCTCCTCACCCTATCTCTAAGGCTGAGCCCGGCCACCCTACGGAGGAAACTCATTTCGGCCGCTTGTATCCGCGATCTCGTTCTTTCGGTCATTACCCAAAGCTCATGACCATAGGTGAGGATTGGGACGTAGATGGACCGGTAAATCGAGAGCCTGGCTTTCTGGCTCAGCTCCCTCTTCCCCACGACAGATCGGCTCAGCGTCCGCATCACTGCAGACGCCGAACCAATCCGCCTGTCGATCTTCCGATCCCTCCTACCCTCACTCGTGAACAAGACCCCGAGATACTTAAACTCCTCCACTTGAGGTAGGACCTCTCCCCCGACCCGGAGCTGGCAAGCCACCATTTACCGGTCAGAGATAACTTGTAGACAGTATTTCGTTTGGAATAAATACATTTGCAGTAAAGGTCCTATATCATGCAACATCCTCGTTTTGAAGCTTTGGACCATGTTTTCATCGCTTCGTGAAAAACACCCCAAAGCAGTTTTCCTGTCTCGGCTGCTTTTCCCCGTCTGGATGGGGCATGGATGCGTCCTCACGTCCCGCTCCTCCCCATGCAGGTAGTGTTGAGTCCAGATCCTTCTCCCCTGGACCCAGCGGCCAGGCTACCGGGAAATGTCCCGGTGCTCTGCTGGAGATCTTAGGTTACGTTATGGAATGGCTGGAATTCACACGAGTGGATGCAGAGTTTCATCAAATCCAAGCGTCTCACTTCCGGGTAGATGTAGCTAGGGCAGCAGTAGCTCAGCAGGTTGAGTCCAGTAATCGGAAGGTTGCAGGTTCAATCCTGGCTCCGGACAGAAAATTCTGCTGTTGTGTCCTTGGGCAAGACACTTAACCCACCTTGCCTGCTGGTGGTGGTCGGAGGGATCGGTGGCGCCTGTGATCGGCAGCCTCGCCTCCGTCAGTGCGCCCCAAGGCAGCTGTGGCTACATCGTAGCTCATCACCATCAGTGTGTGAATGTGTGTGTGAATGGATGAATGATACACTGTAGTGTAAAGCGCTTTGGAGTCCGTACTCTGAGAGGCGCTATACAAGTGCGGGTCATTTATCATTAATCATAATGGCACACAAAATAACTCATATTTAGAAGTGACATGTATTTTGTGCCTGTGGTTGCTCTGAAATAGGACACGGGCATTTCAGCGCAGCAATGATCTTATTTAGACCCTGAATAAATCAACAAAAACAAAACAAGATCCAGTATTCAGCTGACGAGGACATGGGATGAATGAGTCGAGGCTTAAACTAAATAAATAAAAACAGCTATCGTGGCCACACGATCTGGTTACAGCAGTCCTTATTATAGGTTTCCGCTGTGAGCTGGACCACAAACAGCTGGAAATGAGAGCTGGTCATCTGGAGGGGAAGGCAATAATAACAAAAACAAACTTATGGTGTTAAATTTACAGGAATCCCATCTGCCAAGTCCGGTCTGAACTCTGACCCTGACTGACTGAGTCCAACTGGTCGCTGAACCAGACTTTGCCCAAACATGGATGGATCCACATCAGCACAAGTCAAGTTTTAACTACCTAAGTCATGCCAGCAGACCGAGCACGGAGACATCTTCAGGAAGCATCTTGGTTTTGGCCAGACGAGAGCTGGAACCCCCCCCCCGTCTCCTAACTTACATCTGACTAAAGCAGGTGTGACTTACGCCAAGATTTCCTCCGCTGTCAGCTGATCATCTCTCTGCTCTCCTGACACCATCACCAGCTCTTCCTTCAGAGACACAATCTCTTGTTTTAGTTGCGCGATCACCTGAAACACACACAGCGCACAGGTCACCTGCTGCACGGTGCGCTTAACCGACCTTTTTGTGATGCTATGAGGTGTGAAACTGAAACCTTTCTGTAAACGAGATGAAAGGAAAGACAGAAGAAAGTTTTTTTACATTACGCAGAAAAATGTGCAATAAAATGTTTGTATTAGGGGATCAAAAGCAGTAACTGGTGAGTTATAAACATAAAGGCAGTTTTTTTCATCAAACTATGTGCTAATCTATAAAAAATGCAATTAGGAATAACTGCTTTTACCCCATTTGCTTTAACAAATTGCTAACTATAAAATTAAAGTGACTCCACAAACACACCTACAGTAACAGCAGTTATGGGTTCTCCGTGCACTTCCTGTGGAGAAGCAGCAGTGGGCGCTGCAGAAACCTGCTCAGAAATGTCTGACGTGTTCACCTGGATTCACTCTCCGAAGAATCGACTGCAAACAGATTCTAGATCCCGACTCGTAAAAACACCCCAGGATGTTTTTGCCCCTCTTTCTTTGTCAATCATAGCTGCGCATGAGCGGCGATGACGCAAGACATGCTACTAGGGTTTTATCGTGTTAGAAGCTCGGCATGCGAGAAAATAACAGCAGTGTGTGAGCTACTCAGCACCGGCCCTGACACAAACATGCTAGGGGCAAAAAGGTCAGCGAGAGCTAATACAGGTCAAAGGTCAGACTGGGTGATCTCACCCTAGTCCAGCTGATGCATTTTCTAAATGAAAGCCCAAACCGGTCAGGCAGTCTGACACGATCAGCTCGTGTCACCGGTGAGGAGAAACAGACCTGTTTGGTGGTTTTGGGAAGCGGCCACTTTGCTAAATGAAACGTGGTCCCTAATCCACCCCGTATCGTATGTTCCAACATTAAATATGTCGGCTGAGCACTCCTCACCAGAGCAGATCCACGTCTCTCCTTTTTCAGAAACAACCACTGCCCTGACGCTAGTTCTACCAGCTGTCCTCAAAATCTGACCAGCAGCTGTTGGTCAGCTGGGTGATGGCGGCTATTTCAGAGCGCCAGTCCCACCGTGGCACCGCAGCAGCATGGCAGGCGTACACACACTCTGGAATGAAATTCGCCAAGCGCTCGCGGCTGATGAGGATGTCTTTAAAAGTCATGTCAGTGCAGTGATGCAGGAAACTGTAATTACGTAAATCATATCCTCTCACTAACAAGTTATGCAGTTAAATGTGAATCATCATTAGCCAATCTAAAATGGAAATTCCACTTCTAACTGCACAAAACAAACCAAGAGTAATCTGTAAGCACAGCAGGGTAACCACAGGTCTCACTCTAAACACATACACACAGCGTGCTGCTGTTACAGGGCCTCTTCTTAATGAGGGGAGTGGAGGTGCACACAACCACACAGGGCACGGCTGCACAACTGGAGTTTTCCAAACGGATGCTCCATGATGAGAAGCAACGCCACGCAGGAATTTTCACACCCACTTTCTGGAAAAACTCTCTCTGGTTGGTGATAAGGAGCTTCTGTTTGTTTCGCAGGTCTGCGTGAATCCGAGCTGTCGTCTCTGCGCGGCGTTTGTGGAGTTTGGTGAAGTTAAAGGTCAGGGCAGAGTTTAACCATCACTTAATCGCAGAGGGTCAAAATGAACTCGATCAAACTCAGTTTCAATATCAGATTTCACTTAAAAATGGAAGCTAAGTGCAACAGAGGTTAGCTGCGGGTGCATCTAGGAAGACCAGTCCAGCAGAGCTCTGGTCTGAAGCTGACCTGAGCGCCCTCAGAGAAACTAAGAACCGTATATGGTGAGGTCACTGTGGCAGACTTACCCACAGGTCACTTTTCAGCACCTCATTCTTTAACTGCTCCATGAGTGACTTGTTAAATGTTTTCTCTGGTCTGGCTGGTTTCCTGCTGCTCAGAGATCATTTAGCATCCTATGAGCTACTGTACGGGAGCACTCAGGCAACGTGGCACACGAAAACTGTGGGTTTCCATAACCATCAAGTCCAACTCGGTGCTGTTGGTTGTTCAGGCTAAAGAGTCGCTCCGAACCTCCATAAAAAACATCATTATAACATCAGAACTCTGCTGCAGGCTCTGGTTTGTCTCCGTCTCGCTAAGCCAGCGGGGAGATAAAGTTAGGAAGCAGCAAACAAAATGAGAAACACCATATAAATCCACACACCGAGACAAGATGTGTGCCCGTGGAGGTTGAGTTTGCCCGGAGCTGTAACCGTGTCGGACCCATTTGGGAGCAGCCAGACGCTGTCACAATTACTGGGCCCGCCGCAGACTCTCTTAAAAATACCTCTGCAGGGTTTGCAAGTGGCCAGCCAAATCTCGGCAGAAGTAATACAGAAGCAGCTGGTTCTGAGGCCGATCTGGGCTGAAGCACAGGACGTGGGTATAGATGGCACGGCTTATAATTCATCTCACCAGGGGAGCTTTACAGCAGTGAGCAGGTCTGCTTCCAGCCACGCTGAAATAGAGGAAGCTTTGGAGTATGCTGCAAAATTAAAAATAGGACTGAAAAAAAAATACGACTGTGACTACGGTGAAGCCTTTTATAAAGCAAGTAAGAAAGTCTGAGTAAAGACGGCTGGCTTCAGTGTTTATTAAAGGTAAATTAAAGGGGGGCCTGGAGATGATAATCTGGACCTGGCTTTGGCATTTTGCTTGAAATGTTCTTCACACACCGACGACCAATAAATTAAGTGTTTTGATCCAAAGCAGGAAACAAATCCAGGGCCAGGCTAGCTACATTAGCTACCACGCCAGAGCCAAAAGCCCCATTCCCACCTGTACCGGGTCGGCCCGGGCCGGGTAGCGTAGGTTGTTTACATATCTGGGTGGCCTGGAATTTTCCCGGGCCAACCAAGGCTCATTCTCGGCCCTCTTCCCAAGGGGGTCTGCTTCAGGCCGACCAGGGCCAACACGCCCACTGCTGACAGCAAATTCACACCTTCCATTAGAGCAAGCCTCTGATTGGTGGGTAGAATCAGCCCACATGGGCTTAAGACAAGGATGTGTGGAATCAACCGGGCCAGGCTGGGGCCGACTGGGGCTACCCGGCCCGGGCCGACCCGGTACAGATGGGAATGGCCCAAAAGTCACTGGAGACTCCGTGGCTGCTGCGTCGGTGTATTACTTCAGCGGTTATTGCTTAAAAATGCAAAGAAAGGGTCAAAAAGGTAAACCAATGTTATGTTGTTATGGTTGTTTGACAGTGTGTGTTGCATCTGGCATTCTCTTTAGGGAGGAGCCTAAAACAAGGGTTGGACCTTTGAATTGTCCATCCATCCCTCCGGCCCAAGCAGAGGCCCAGACTTCCCTCTCCCCAGCCACTTGGGCCAGCTCCTCCGGGGGAATCCCAAGGTGTTCCCTGGCCAGGTGAGAGACATAGTCCCTCCACTGTGTCCTGGGTCTTCCTTTAGGTCTCCTCCCGGTTGGACGTGTCCAGAAAACCCCACCAGGGAGGCGTCCAGGAGGCATCCTGACCAGATGCCCGAGCCACCTCAACTGGCTCCTCTCGATGTGGAGGAGCAGCGGGTCTACTCCGAGCCAAGACACCCTGCTGAGTTGTTTTTCAAGGATTATCCTCCCTACCTTGAAACTTCACCACCTGCTACTCTGCACTTTTTCTAACATACCAAAAACAGGTTTCAGCGTTTTGAGCTGAAACTCTTCAAACTTGCACCCGACTTTTGCATCATTCTGAATATCCAGTGTGAACGGACTCATATGAGCTAAACGTAGACTACAAATAAAATAAAAGCACATTAAGTCACGTCTCTGTTGTGTGTCTGGCGGCAACGAGGGCAGCGTGTGCCTGCTCTCACCAGGGAAGGGTCCACTTCTTCATTCAGTACCGCCTCGTTCTTTATGAGAGCCACACGCTGAGCGAAGCGACACGTAGAGATGGACTCCTGTTAAAAACAGTTTCAACAAGCGGCCATTATGTCTCTGCAGGGGTCTTCCTCATAAGCGTAGCCGCCTAGAAGAAGATCCTCACATCAATGTTCCCTTTGTCGATTGCTAGAGTGGCAATCATGGTGGTGGTGCAGTTTCCCCCCAGGCTGTCCCTCAGCACCGATGTTAACATGGAGTTTCTGTAAGGAATATGGGAGCGATTCTTCTCCGATAGAGCTATAATCACCTGAGGATGAGAGAAATTAAAGTATTTATAACTTAAACAGCACACAGGGTGGCTGACCCTGATTAAACATGCAGTGATAATCCTCAAAAGCACCATCTTTTTAACAGAACAGCCTTGGAGAAGACAAAAACTATTAACAGTAATAGAAGCATGCACCTGTTCCAGGAAGTGCAGGGAGAGATTGATATACTTGGCCTCGGTGAGAAGCTGCCCATCTAGACCCGTCTTGCCAACTCTATCCGACCCAGACAGGTCCACCAGGTGGAGTTTGGATCGCCGCAGGGTGGCAGAGCCAGGCTCACGCCTGCAGAGGTGCACGGTGAAAATGCAGTGGGAGCGGGTAGAGGCCTGGTTCATGGGAGTCTGATGACGAAGAGAAGGCAAACAGAGCAGTTAGACAACATTTTACTGTGAAGTATAAACTCTGAATACTTTTCCCAAATCCGAAATCTGCCGGATTCAAACAAGTTTTTGTTTATTCTTCTTGGATCAAATCTCAGTGAGGAGTAAACATGGTGACAGCTTTAGAGAATAGAGGTGGATTTAACAAGGTCACCAAAACAAGTCAGGGGGAGAAGAAACTGTACGACTCATAATATTCCACTTCAAATATTACCCTGAAGAGGCCTTAATTAAATTTAAAAAGGAAACAGAATCTGCTTTCCTACGTCGTGGTGACCATGAATGATTTTACAGTTAGTTTGAAGTATGTCTGTAAAAAGCACATTTTCATTTAAATTGAGGATTTATCTCAAGAAAACAGAAAGTGTGCTTCCTTATATGGATTCAGCATCAGATTATTGCATCTTTAATTCTCTTTTGCAGAGGAGTAATTGATATAATGGGCGGGCAAGACGAAAAAGAATAATTCACAGGTGTCCACATCACATTCTTCTTCTATTTGGGTGCGTAAATGTGCCAGCGCCTGCTTGTTAAGGCCATAAAAGCTCCTGACGGATCTTTCTCTGTCTTAACCTGCTGCTGTCGTCTCTTTCCTCGTCTAAATTCCCTTCAATCCTCTCGTGTCCATGGGCGCACCAAAGGGCACCCCTAAATGCCCGAGGCAGCTCCTAAGCTCAGGGGTATGCAGAGTCTGTGCATAAACTCTTATTTTGATTTTGTCGGCTGTTTGTTTCACAGAATCAGTGTTCGTTTGAAAAGCCTGGATGTCACTGAGATTTGCTTTAAATCTGCTAAACGGATGCGTTGATTTTGGCCACAGTAGAGCCGGCCTGGCTCTGGTGGTCTGCAGCTGCTGCAAAAGGCTGCAACTTGTTTTGTTTAGCAACAACAAGAAAACATGAGCCTAAAACACAATATTGTCTCAGTTTATGTTCATTTGAAAAAAGGTTTTAATATTTTAACTTTTATCCTAAAACAACAAGTACACTTTGTTCTGAATTCATGTTGCACGTTTGTGTAACGCTTCCATGAGCGAGGAACCCGCTACAGTACAATCACTCTGGTGGTGAGCTACACTGTGGCCACAGCTAACCTTTACGGTTATAAACTGTGAGACTTTTACTTCACAAAACGTTCAGGATTAAATTTTAGGTTTGAAACAGAAATGAGACAACGCAACCTCACTGGAGCCTGAACATGTTGAACTGCTTTGCACCACACGCTGACCACACACAGAGCAGCAGAAAGGGGCAATCTGGGACTAGAAATGCATAGGATTAAGAGATTACTGACTCAGTTATTAGGAGGATGTTAGCGTGCACTGTAGGGAGAGAGAAACACTTCAGACTCAGCAACCATGTGAAGCCAGAGTCTGAAAAGTCCAGATCGGTGGACCTGTTAAGCTGACACGAGGGCGAGGAGTTGAAGAGCTGTACTTTACTTCCTGTCAAGTATAAAGGGAAAGGCCAAGTCTCAAAGCAAATGAGCTCATGGGGAGCTGGGTTTGGCGTGGATGGATGTGTCATCTTCTCTCCACATGGCTGAGACGGAGAGAAGAAAGAAGGCATTGCTTTAATGGAAGTCGCCGGGGAGCTGAGACGTCTTGGAGGATCGTGTCAGGAACAAATAAACAGTGTTACGGGTTCTTTGTTTCCTTCGGGCTCAAGAGAAACTTCTTGAGATAAAATCTCAAGCAAAAGCTTCTGCGTGGGTGGACTATGTGGGGTCTCCTCGGTTCATTGTGAAACTCTGAGTAATGAGAAGATGTTTTCACTGACCAACCCCTCCTGTTTTAATGGGGTCCCAGAAAAACATTTTTACTAACAGAACCTGTTCTTTGAGCCTCGATTTAATATGCAACCTTGTTGAGGTTCAAAATGGTCCAGGAGCCTTTGATAAAAGGCTAAAAATAACTCCATAATAAAGACTGGTTTCCTCTGCCCACTCGACCAGGACATGAATATCAAATGAGCTGCATGTTGATTGGTCAGTTTGCCCTGATGGCTCTATGACACTGCTTGGACAGAACCCTCGTGTGCAGCTGTGGATCTGTCTTTCATTCATTCATACTCTGGATAAGCCCGGTAAATCCTGGAACGATACATGTACGCTCCAGTGGCGTGCGGTCAGAGGAGGCACTTCCTGTTTCAGTGAGCGTGTGCAGCGCTGCATACGCTTGATACAGAGAGTTGGCGCATGCGCTCGGTCTGAATCGGTTACTCTGTCTCTCCTCTCGCTTCTGCATGTGTATTTGATCAGGAAACAGGTGAATTCAGCGATCATGTACGTGAGGATATCTTACAGAAAAACAATCTATAGAGCAGTTACTGGAGACACTGACTTTATATTAAATCATTATTAGAGCTTTGCGTGCCTCCCCTGCCTTCTCTGGCGTTTGTAGTTGTTGTTTTCCTTATTGTCAAGCGCTAGCAGCAGCTCAGGCTGGTGTTAGGTGCAGATTAGGCTAACATTAGCAGTAGCTCGGGCTAGCATCAGCTGCAGCTCGTTGTACCATTACCAATATCTCTGTTAAGCAGCTATCATTACAGCCACCAATATTTATTAAGGTGGTGTTCCTAATTTGCATTTGCTACACTTGACCTCACAAGCTGGCCATATTCAACGACACCTGTAAAGCACTGGATCCTGGGTTTAGTGTACTCTGTCTAGGTACACGTTCAAATTCAACTTTGTTTACAAAGCGCTTTCGCGCGCTCATGAGGACAAACAAAGTGCTGTAAACTAATAAAACACAGCAATAAAAACAGACACATGAAAAACACCATAAAAAATTCCCAAGTACAGTTACAGCGAACCAAACCAGCTTTCTAACCGCCATCAGATAAAATAAATAACCAGAGCGAAGCCGCCCACCTAATCCCGGCCTCAATAACCAAACGCCAGCGACAAAAGACACGTTTTTAGTCGCCTTATCAAGCGATTGGGCCTGCTTCACACTGGCCGCCAGCTCATTCCAGAGCCTGGTCCCAGCGCTGAGATTTCAATATGTACCTGGGCACTATTAATAGTTCCTGGTCAGCTGATCTAAGGGAACGCATCGGGACATATCGGTGGATGGCATCTGACAAGTACTGAGGTTCCCCCCCACTTAATGCCTTGAACAAGGGTTACCTTATGGACAAAAAGCCAAGGCAAGGTGCCTAGGACTGGTGTAATATGCTCAGACCGCCTGGTGCCCGTCAACATGCGAGCTACAGAGTTCTGGACTGCCCGGAGGCGTGCTATGGAAGCTTGTCTAAGCCCTGCATAAAGCGAGTTACAATAATCCAACCTGAAGGTAACAAAGGCATGGATCACAGTCTCCAAATGTCTACATGCCAGAAATGGCTAAATCTTATCCACTGAGATGAAAATAGCAAGATCTCACGATTCCGTTCACCTGAGAATCTAGTCTGGGCTCCACATCCAACTTCACCCCAGGTTAGTGATCACCACCTTCTGGTACGGGGCCAGTGTGGAAAAATCAAGCCCTTGGTCAGCTTCTAGAGTCTTTGGTGGATTTACCAGAATTATTTCAATTTACCGGTGGCTGCCTGGTGGGGTCTGGGTCCCTGGGCTCTGCTGGGTCCCCGGCGGGGGTGGTCACCCCTGGGTCCCGGGTCGCTGGGTCCCGGGCTCGGCCAGCTAGGGGGTGGGAGGCTGCGGGCGGGCCTGTGGGCTTGCCGCTGATATCTCCAGGGACTCTGCCGGCTGCTGGTTGTGGCCCCCCGGGGCGATCCTCTGTGCCTCTCGAGGGGGGCGGGGGCCTTTCTGGTTGCAGTCTCCTTGGGGTTCCTGCATTCTGGGGCAACGCCTGGATCTCTGGGACTTGGAGCTCCCCCCGTCTCCTGCACATCTTTGGGGGGCGGATCTGTGGTCCCTCACACTCTCTGTTGGACGCTCCTATAGAGAAACCTTACATAAACAAGCGCGTGTACACACACAGGTGCTCACATGGTGCTCTCAAAAGTATGGGCTTGGGCACGTTAAACACATGTCTTAAGGCTATGGGGGGCACTTAATGCACTGTGATTTATTATCGTGATTCTTCAGTTAAGCAATGTTGATTATGTGTATGTATGTATGTATATATATATATATATATATATATATATATATATATATGTATATATATATATATATATATATATAGTTTTTGTTTTTTTTTCATCAAGTTGACGCAGTGATAGGTAGATCTTGTTGTATTGTTGTTGTGTCCCTTTTTTGTGTCCTTTTGTTTTTTTTTTTTTTGTCTTTTTCTGCAGGTTTAGAAGCAGACTCTTGTTCATTGTTTATTTTTGTGGAACCCCCCCCCCCCCCCTCCTCCTCTCTCTCCACCTTTTCTCTTCCTTTCTCTTTCACCTTTGACTCCGTGTCTGGTCGGAATTACAAAGCATTCAACAACAATAACAATAAAGTTTTAAGTATCAGGCGTGACATTAAAAGCAAACGCTTTGATGCTCCACCTGAGAATAAATCTGTAAGGCTTGTCACCAGCATTCAGACATCAATTCTGCTTGCTTCACAGCCAGACAGGACACGGTAAAAAAAAAAAAAAAAAAAAAAGAATTATTTCAATTTTATTTTGGTTGAAACACAAGCAGTTCTGAGCCGTCCATAACTTGATGCCATCCAGGCAGTTCAACAAATGTTGGATGGCGCATAAACCACCACGCCTAATTGGAAAAATAACCTGGAAATCATCAGCATATAGCTGGAATGTCACGTCATGCTTGCAAAATAGGTCACCCAGGGGTAGAAGATACAGGGCAAAAAACAGCGGGGCTAAAATCGAGCCTTGGGGCACTCCCCAAGGCAGCTCAGCCGAGGTGGAAGAACAGTCCCCCACCCACAACCCTAACCCATCGACATATAAATATTGGACAATGGGTTTCCATAGACTCCAATAACATGTTTTTGAAGAAAAATGGGAGGTAGCCACCACCATTTTGACCGTGTCACAGGTTCCGTCAAGCCCAGACAATTACAAAAAAGGGAAGAGAGGAGGAGCTGAGGGTACGGCTGTAAGGCTGGGATCAGCTGACGACACCCGGTCGAACTAGCTACAAGCTAACCTGAAGCTAACCCAAGCCTAATGCGGAGGTGGGAGCTAAGCTAATGGAGGTAGCAACCTAGCTACAACCGGAGTTAACTGTGCACAACACCAGAGCTTCTGAGTCAGAGATACGCCGGGCTGACCGCTGGGTAAAACCGGGTGGAACACAGAGGTCTCCGAGACCTCCACAAGCCGGCAGCCGCACAGCAGACAAGCATCGCTGCGATCTGAGATGCGCAGAGCTGCCGCTGGGGAGAACCGGCTGGAAAGGTTTCCATCCCAGACCTCCACAAGCCGGCAGCCTGCGCAGCAGACAGAAGCCGGGATCAGACCGAGCTGTGGGGAGGGGAGAACCGGGTGGAAAACATCGGTCTCCCGAGAGCTCCACAAGCCGATAGTGGGAACCCAGCTCCACCAACATGTTATATTTCAACCCATTTTCTAAAGCGCAGCATTATGTTAAATGCACTGGGTTTTACCCTATTACATTTAAATTTCATGGTTAAACAGTGCATGTTAAAATCTAAGCTCAGCTCGGCAGTGACCTAAAGTACATAAATATAATTTTACTTACCGAAAAAAATGAAGTGGAGACTCCTTGAATGCTCTATTAGTGCAATTAATGCCACAGCAAGTCATTTTGTCCAACAATTGCACAAATAATATCCAAAAAAGATTACACACACACACACAGAGACTCAAAATCCCGGAAAAGTTTCCAGGCCAGACCGAGGCTCTACTGACGCCTTTCCACGGAGCTAGCTCTGTGGTCACGTGGGTCTGATGCTCATTAATGATACAGAATTTTAGGCTTTTAATACACTTAAACAGAAGAGTGAAAAAAACATTCACCCCCCTCAGAGTTGTCATGAGTGTAAACTAGATCATTTAAACCAAAAACATGTTTTGGTACCAGGCTGTAAACATGTTTATTTCTGCTGTGAAATTGGTATTTTTAACATGGGAGTCAATGAGGATTTGCTCGCTTCTGACACCAGCCCCTAGTGGACGAGGGTGGAACTGCAATTTCTGTCACTTCTGCGTTGGCCTCAATTTTTCACCCGCATCGTGGGGGCTTGCCCTAACCCTACGCAACACTGTTACTTTCAGTGTGGAATGTGTATTACTTGGTTGAAGTTTTACTCACACAGTACTTCTTAAATACCTTCTAACCCTAATCCTACTGAACTGAGAAAAATCCTAACTTACCCCACAACTACCATATTTATTTGCACTGGTTTGTTTGATGGAAGACTCCCAACCACATCAAAAAATGGACTTCAAAATAAAATGAAAAGCAAGCCTGAAACCTTGTCATCAAGTACCCTTTAAGTGACTCTTATTTACACATACACTGGCAGTAGGAGTAAAGATCAGCTCTTTGCACCAAAACCTCACGCTGACCCACACATCCCATCGGTGTGGGGAATCTGAACAAGTGAAAACCACAACACAAAGAGAAATTACAGAGAAAATGTTTAGTTTTACAGAATAAAAAAGAAATGTTAAAAAAGCCCGTAAGGGACCGAAATAAAATTTTAGAGGGGCTTTTAAAATGCTGTATTTCTGGGACTAAAACGACCCTTTACACCACTTAACCCTGGAAGTGGTCAGGGGTAATTTTGTTCTGTGCATCCAATACTGATGGAGAACACAGCAAAGTGTTTGTGGGCATTTTCTTACTTCAGCAATCATACGATTGGTGTCACCCAGGAAGAGTAGATTCAGAGCCTCCTCTTCATTTGCCGACTGTTGCATAGAAAGGTTTCTGAGGTGGATGTTCTGTTCAGGATCCTCCATGATCATAACTTTTCTGAAACAAAACAATAAAAGGGATAGTGTTGAAGAGATAGTCGTACAAATGAGAATATTCAGGAGTCATTGTACTATTTTTCAGAAATACATGTAGTAATGAAGAGAATCTTTTACATGGCAGCATGAAACAGACAGCACTTGCTGTATATATTTACTAAATGGTATTTCATTTTCAAACCCAACCGGTCACTTTGGCACACATTCAGGCTTCTCATCAGATTGTTGAACTTAAGGAGCCAGTAGCACCTAAATCACCTCTGCTGCTGATAAACTATAAATGAGTGTCAAATGGTGTTTTACACAGGTGTAGTCATTATTTTGGCATTTTAGTGCATCATGTTTAATTTTTTTAAAAGTCAGCTAAAAATGACTAATGGCCCTTACATCGGCTCCACTCCACCTGGACCGGGGTGGGGGTGTTCGCTGTGGATTTCCCCCACGCACATCCGGAAGTCCTATTAGCCCTCGTTGCGGTGAGAATATCGCTACATATGAAATTAAATGGTCAATAAGAAGTGATATTCCATTTAAATACCGTAAATCCTCTAATATTAGCCTGTATTCAATTAACAGCCGGGTATCACATTTTGGCCGGTGTCGGAGTCGGCGGAGGTGAATAATGGCCGTTTTTTTATTGTGGCCAGGTGGAATGTGGTAACAAGCAAGTACGGGGGGCGGTTGTGTCATCCGTCTCACTTTGGATTTGCCAGTGATAGACCGCGAGGGTAACTTTAACCGTGCGGAGACGAAGAGGAGGCGAAAATTTGATATCAAGTTCAAAGAGAACGTGCTGATTATGCTGCAGAACACTCTGGGGAGCAGTAGCAGGGGTTGTATGAACTAGTCAACTTCACTATAGTGACTTGTTATGCCTGTCATCGACTAGTCGCTGTCACGTGATAATGACCGGCAAGATGCAGTCCACGGAAAAGACAGCAGCCTGCTGTCGGCAGGTGACGAGCTCCTGCGCGTCATGTCTCAGATGGAGAAACTCAGAGAGAGAACGGGGGGTCTGGTAACTGCCTCAAAGGGGCTCTGTCTGCAGGCGACACCTCCATTAGGCTCATTTTTCAAACAGGAAATGAGGTGGAGTAAGACTCAGGGGGTGACTGACACTTGAATACATTTTTAAACCTCGTCCTATGTTGTTTTGCATGAGCCTGAACATTTAAACTACCAGCGACATGAAAATAAAACTATGTCAGTTATGTTTTTATACAACCTGTTTACCTTAAACCACCTTGGCATTACTCCGCACTGAAGCCAAACGAACCACTGTTACCATGAGCAGCAGTGCAATCTGACATGTGATTAGTCTTTTTGGAGCTCATATCGCTTTAATAGACATGACTTGGCTGTAAAAACAAACAGGTGATTGTGTCTCACCCACAAACGCAAATCTTTTAACAGATGGGCTTGAATGACGCTTGCAATCTCACCACATCGTTTCCATCAAGTCATGTGAGAGCACGGCTGTTTGACTGACAAGTCAAAAAGGGAAAAATGACTAAAGAACACGTGCAGATAATTATCTCAACATGTGCGGATAATTGAGGTGGTCTGATAAAACAATAATAATCTTATCATGATTAAGATCTGTGTTCTGGAATGGTAGTTTCCATAAACAGCCACGCCAACCCTAAATATAATCCGATTATTGTTCTTTCACCAAAAAGGGTAGAAACACAGCAAGAAAGTAGGTAATTACAGGTTTTCAGGAAATCAGACAACGGAAAACTGACTGCATGATAAAAACAGATGGATGGATGAAATTTTAAAGTATAAGTTAAAGGGTAGAGGGATGCTATAGAGACGGGATGAGAGCCCGGCAGTGCCATAGCTTCTTATTGAATCAGCAAACGTGGCCGCAGCATGGTGAACAACGGACACCGTCTACTTACAGACAGCGGTCATTTGTGCGTATTCAAAGCTGGAGTTGGGTGCTTGCAAAAGGACAACCTTCAAAAGTGCGATTGTGCCTGGAAGTCCTGCTTCAACATGAACAGTGAGTGTAAAAAAGATGAAGAAAGTGGGAAAAACATGCCCAAAAGTTCTTCTCCACAAAAGGTTTGTAGTTACTGAGAATTATAGACAAAAACAAAGACCAAACAGCAGCACAGTTTAGCAAACAGTTCAGAAGTAAGTGTTCAGCAATAAATCCAGGCTCAAATCCAAAAGTTAAGGAGAAGAAGGGAATTAAAGGTGTTTGAATTATTCAGAAGCGCATTAGTGTCATTTGGTTTTTACTGACGGCAGGTCCTCCAGTCGAGAAGCCTCGTGTCGGGAATCCAGAAGGTCATATCCCACCTCGTTGTAGATCTCCAGGTACGAGATGTGTGTGGTATAAACTATGTTGCTGTCCTGTGAAGCAAAAGTAATCCATCTAAAAATGGAAACAAATGTTCCCGTTTTCATGCTTCTTCATTACAAGTTTGCACTTTGCTTAACAAAACTTTAGCAGAAAGCAGACGGACATCCGCTGACCTGGCCGAAGCGTTGGTACAGGTAGGACAGGCTGCGAGGAATTATGCCACGGTCGCAGTAACGCTCGGCGCCTCCTGAGATGGTGAAGGTCTTCCCGCTGCCCGTCTGGCCGTAAGCAAATATGGTGCCATTGTACCCAGCCAGCACACTACAGGACAGCAATGAGAAAAGCTGCTTGATTCCATTCAGTAAATACATCAACTACTGGTCAGCTGTGACCGACCTTTCATGACACAAACATGAGGTGTAAAAGGTGTCAACTTGTGTGTGAATTCTTGGAGCTCTGCGTCGTCTGCTGCATGTGAAATCAACATTCAGACTTCTGAAACCGTCTGAGTGTCGATTTAATTATGGATTCACTAGGATACATACAATAAAGCTTATCTCTCACCATAAGTGTGTGTGTGTGTGTGTGTGTGTGTGTGTGTGTGTGCGTGCGTGCGTGCGTGCATGCGTGTGTGTGTGTGTGTGAGAGAGTCGTGGAGGATGGCTGCTTATACTGAGCCGGGATTCTCTGGAGGTTTCTTCCTGTTAAAAGGGAGTTTTCCTCTCCACTGTCGCTGCATGCTTGCTTAGTATGAGGATTGCTGTAAAGACTCTGACACTAGTCAGTGACTCGATGCAGCCTGCTGGGTTCCTTATATAGGAAACTTGTTACTGATTGGCTTAATGACCTGACCTGTATTGGGATGCTGAAGATCCTTGAGACGACTCTTGTCGTGATTTGGCGCTTTATAAATAAACTTGAATTGAAATGAACTGAATTAAAGCTGACACTTGAAATCCACTGTGAAGGAGTGAATTCAGACTTAGCTGCCGTGGCGGCAGACATCTGCTGGTGAGGGAGGAATGCCTCAGAGCATGAATGACAGGAAGAGCCCAAACCCTCCCGACTAGGCAGGGTCTGGTGAATTTTGGTTTGGCACAACGCTGTCCTGCTGCATGTGCACACAGCCATGGAAACCAGTAATAATACAACATGGCGGAGCGTCTCTGAGACATGATATTTAAGTATTTTTAAGAAATGACAGTTTTCTGGTTTTGGAAATAACCCACGGAGAAATGGAAGAGTGGCTTCAGAGCTCAGATCACAGGTATTAATAAACTTTGTGCTCTCTGACTGTCTCACCAGACTAAATATTTGTAAATTACGTTTTTTTAAGACCAATTTTAGACAAATGTGATAAACTCACTTCTGATGACTCGGGCAGTGAGAGGGTTTCCTTTCCAGTGTACGTTATAACCTCACAACTTGCACGAGAGCAGTCCGTTTATATAAAAACTCATTCAGGAGAAAGCTGGTTGGGTAGAGCGTCTTGAAAGACCATTAGGCATCCATTCAGTAGCGTGAGTCATGGCGGTGATTGGCAGTAGGGGGGAAGAGACGTAGGCTCGGTGTTTAGACTAATGTCAGTCCTAATGATGCGGCCTGCTGGGTCCTGCCACCGAGGCTCGGGCGTTTCCCAATGCTTGTTCCTGTTTACACCTCAGTTTTCCTGGAGACTGAACAGAACCCTGCTCTTGCTAGAACCTTGGCTGCAGGTTTCATATTCTGACGTGGGATTACAATGCAGATAGAGGAGATAGTTCTGCCAGACCAGTATCATTACGCTGGCTCTTCCTCTCCTGCAGCTATGAATGCTGGCTTGTTTTTAAACTACTGTGCAGGAGATGAAATGGCTGGTTTCTGTTACACCACAGTGTGCAAGCTGTGACCCAGGAGTCGGGCTAAAATGTGAAATTTGCCAACTTTGATGAACGTAACCCAAAAAATAAAAAATAAGGAAAAAATGCACAGCTATAATGTTCAATCAAACCTGAGATATCTCTAAACTAAACAATCTCTACGAAAAACGTTCTGTCTGAAATGTGTTTCTTACTGTAACCACAGAGAGGTTGTGCTTGAAAAGCGGGTGTCACGATGTTCAGGATGTTGGGGGTGTTGGGGGTGTTGGGGATGTTGGGGATGTTGGGGGTGTTGGGGATTTTGGGGGTGTTAGGGATTTTGGGGGTGTTGGGGGTGTTGGGGGTGTTGGGGATGTTGGGGATGTTGGGGATGTTGGGGGTGTTAGGGATGTTGGGGGTGTTGGGGATGTTGGGGGTGTTGGGGGTGTTGGGGGTGTTGGGGGTGTTGGGGATGTTGGGGGTGTTGGGGGTGTTGGGGGTGTTGGGGGTGTTGGGGATGTTGGGGGTGTTGGGGGTGTTGGGGGTGTTGGGGATGTTGGGGATGTTGGGGGTGTTGGGGATGTTGGGGATGTTGGGGGTGTTGGGGGTGTTGGGGGTGTTGGGGGTGTTGGGGGTGTTGGGGGTGTTGGGGATGTTGGGGATGTTGGGGATGTTGGGGGTGTTAGGGATGTTGGGGGTGTTGGGGATGTTGGGGGTGTTGGGGGTGTTGGGGGTGTTGGGGGTGTTGGGGATGTTGGGGGTGTTGGGGGTGTTGGGGGTGTTGGGGGTGTTGGGGATGTTGGGGATGTTGGGGGTGTTGGGGATGTTGGGGATGTTGGGGGTGTTGGGGGTGTTGGGGGTGTTGGGGGTGTTGGGGGTGTTGGGGGTGTTGGGGGTGTTGGGGGTGTTGGGGATGTTGGGGGTGTTGGGGATGTTAGGGATGTTGGGGGTGTTGGGGGTGTTGGGGGTGTTGGGGATGTTGGGGATGTTGGGGGTGTTAGGGATGTTGGGGGTGTTAGGGATGTTGGGGGTGTTGGGGATGTTGGGGGTGTTGGGGATGTTGGGGGTGTTGGGGGTGTTGGGGATGTTGGGGATGTTGGGGGTGTTAGGGATGTTGGGGGTGTTGGGGATGTTGGGGGTGTTGGGGGTGTTGGGGGTGTTGGGGGTGTTGGGGGTGTTGGGGGTGTTGGGGATGTTGGGGGTGTTGGGGATGTTGGGGGTGTTGGGGATGTTGGGGGTGTTGGGGATGTTGGGGGTGTTGGGGATGTTGGGGATGTTGGGGGTGTTGGGGGTGTTGGGGATGTTGGGGGTGTTGGGGATGTTGGGGATGTTGGGGGTGTTAGGGATTTTGGGGGTGTTAGGGATTTTGGGGGTGTTAGGGATTTTGGGGGTGTTGGGGATGTTAGGGGTGTTGGGGGTGTTGGGGGTGTTGGGGATGTTGGGGATGTTGGGGGTGTTGGGGATGTTAGGGATGTTGGGGGTGTTGGGGATGATGGGGATGATGGGGATGATGGGGGTGTTGGGGATGTTGGGGGTGTTGGGGATGTTGGGGGTGTTGGGGATGTTGGGGGTGTTGGGGATGTTGGGGGTGTTGGGGATGTTGGGGGTGTTGGGGGTGTTGGGGGTGTTGGGGATGTTAGGGATGTTAGGGATGTTAGGGATGTTGGGGGTGTTAGGGATGTTGGGGATGTTGGGGGTGTTGGGGATGTTAGGGATGTTGGGGACGTTAGGGATGTTGGGGATGTTGGGGGTGTTGGGGGTGTTGGGGATGTTAGGGATGTTGGGGATGTTGGGGGTGTTGGGGATGTTAGGGATGTTGGGGACGTTAGGGATGTTGGGGATGTTGGGGGTGTTGGGGATGTTGGGGATGTTGGGGGTGTTGGGGGTGTTGGGGGTGTTGGGGATGTTAGGGGTGTTGGGGGTGTTAGGGGTGTTAGGGGTGTTGGGGATGTTGGGGATGTTGGGGGTGTTGGGGGTGTTGGGGGTGTTGGGGGTGTTGGGGATGTTGGGGGTGTTGGGGATGTTGGGGGTGTTGGGGATGTTGGGGGTGTTGGGGATGTTGGGGATGTTGGGGATGTTGGGGATGTTGGGGGTGTTGGGGATGTTGGGGGTGTTAGGGATTTTGGGGGTGTTAGGGATTTTGGGGGTGTTAGGGATTTTGGGGGTGTTGGGGATGTTAGGGGTGTTGGGGGTGTTGGGGGTGTTGGGGATGTTGGGGATGTTGGGGGTGTTGGGGATGTTAGGGATGTTGGGGGTGTTGGGGATGATGGGGATGATGGGGGTGTTGGGGATGTTGGGGGTGTTGGGGATGTTGGGGGTGTTGGGGATGTTGGGGGTGTTGGGGATGTTGGGGGTGTTGGGGGTGTTGGGGGTGTTGGGGATGTTAGGGATGTTAGGGATGTTAGGGATGTTGGGGGTGTTAGGGATGTTGGGGATGTTGGGGGTGTTGGGGATGTTAGGGATGTTGGGGACGTTAGGGATGTTGGGGATGTTGGGGGTGTTGGGGGTGTTGGGGATGTTAGGGATGTTGGGGATGTTGAGGGTGTTGGGGATGTTAGGGATGTTGGGGACGTTAGGGATGTTGGGGATGTTGGGGGTGTTGGGGATGTTGGGGATGTTAGGGATGTTGGGGGTGTTGGGGGTGTTGGGGATGTTAGGGGTGTTAGGGGTGTTAGGGGTGTTGGGGGTGTTAGGGGTGTTGGGGGTGTTGGGGGTGTTGGGGATGTTGGGGGTGTTGGGGATGTTGGGGGTGTTGGGGATGTTGGGGATGTTGGGGATGTTGGGGATGTTAGGGATGTTGGGGGTGTTGGGGATGTTGGGGATGTTGGGGATGTTGGGGGTGTTGGGGATGTTGGGGGTGTTGGGGATGTTGGGGGTGTTGGGGGTGTTAGGGATGTTGGGGATGTTAGGGATGTTGGGGGTGTTAGGGATGTTGGGGATGTTAGGGATGTTGGGGGTGTTGGGGGTGTTGGGGGTGTTGGGGATGTTGGGGATGTTGGGGATGTTGGGGGTGTTGGGCGTGTTGGGGATGTTGGGGGTGTTGGGGATGTTGGGGGTGTTGGGGATGTTGGGGGTGTTGGGGATGTTGGGGATGTTGGGGGTGTTGTTGATGTTGGGGGTGTTGGGGATGTTGGGGGTGTTGGGGATGTTGGGGGTGTTAGGGATGTTGGGGGTGTTAGGGATGTTAGGGATGTTGGGGATGATTTTGTCACTTGCATGAGAACATTGAATTGTGCCATGCTTGTCTTTCTGCATATTGAACATCTGTGGCAGCGTTTTCCCGACTTTAGTGAAAAATCTATAAAATGGCTCAAACTAAACCTGCTACCTGTGGAAACCCTCTGGCTATACGTCAAAAGGTGGCATGGTCCGGACTTCAACTTGGTCTGGGTTTAAGTCTTAACTTTAAAACTTTGAGAGTTCAAGTCACCTGCAATGCTCCTCAGGTCCAGTCCCAAGTCCCTTAAATGTGACTCAAGTCGAGACTCCTTCCAAGTCCATGGCCAGGACAAGTCTAACGTTTCATTTACCAGACTGATAATGTCTGTGTTCGTACAAAATAAAACAAAGTGCAAACAAAAAACAAGATAGAAAGTACTCCACTTTAAATGTTGTAACTGGCTAACTCGACAACTTCAGTCGAAAAGAAAGAACACTTTAAAACATCCTCTATGACAACATGTTTCTCTCAGTTCATCCTGTGGCTTTTTTATTGCTGTAAGTCATTTACGTCCCTCTGGAAACAAATAGTCACACACTCCTTCTGGAAACGGCCTTGGATTAATCCCACAAGTGTTTATTAAAGCATCCGTCCACAATCATTTACTCCAGGGGTTCGTGCTTTAGCTACTGAAGTGTGATTTAAATGTTCAGGACTCACAGCGGACTAAGAAATGCCTGACTGGTTAGACAGACGGGTCTTGGCTAGACAGAGGGGCTAGTGTCCTGGAGACTGCAGACATCAAACTCATATCTGAGACTGAAAGAAGTTCAAACTGATATGAAAAGACATGTCAGAGGTCCGGCTCCAGCCGTCAATCTGATGTATACCATCTGCTTCAACAGAGCGACGGTTGGGAGGGCAACCTAATACCAAATCAGTGAACCAATCAGTGAGTCAGGTCAGACACATCCAAGTCCTTAGTCAGTCATTCCAGACATCTCCGGGTGTTGTTTATATACCCCTAATAGCTAAAATAATCCAGCGCACTTGTGGGATTCCACAAATAGGTCCCATTGTGACTAAAACGACTGAGAGGAATGCCGAGATGATGAGAGAGGAAAACTGGCTGGCAAGGGCAACGTTTGGTGAGGAGAAGCAGAGGAAGAACTGTGTTTACAGGACAACAAGACCAACATTCGATCACAGGAAATTCTCTCGTTGGCGGCTTTTTGTCCGGCACACCAAACGCTCACACACAGGAAGGGTTTGACATCATTTATAAAGAAGAAAAAGGTTTCATTTATATTGTTGTTACTCTGACATGTTATTGTTATATGGAGGTTCTGTCACATGAACAGAAACGCGTCAGAAAATCAGACTTGAGTAACAAAGTGTCATAGAATGAGTAAAGAAGAACCGTGCATTATGGACGACGGGAGCTTAAATACAGCTGTGAAGGATGAAGGGCAGGTGAGGTGAAATCAAAATCAAATCCAGGTGTCCACAAAAAAAACAACCCAGAACTAAACAGGAGCATTATAAAAACACGAAAAAGCTAACAAAGATGGCTGACTAGAGCTGAAGAAGGAAATCCTAGTAGAGCTAGCTCAACATGCATCACACACCTGTTTTCATTCTGTCGCCTGATCATTTTTTATTGAAAATCTTGAAAATGTTTAAGGCGACCTAGAATCAGGTTGAATCAAAGGTTTGTACGGTAAGCACACACGTACAATATAGAGTTCTGTGCTGCAGCCTAAAAATATTCCCGCTCTCATAATGGCTCACTGTGCCATCATGCCTGCCAGCTCTGTCCACTTAGTGGTTTAAGCACTTCAAACGTGCCAAACATCACAGACACCCTCCATTTCCATCTTAAAGAAAGCTGAGCTTTACTGACTTCCTGTCAACGAGGCTGGATGAAGCTTGTGTGGCCCGACTTCGGCGTGGGGGGACAGAAAAGTTGCTGAGCGTAGAAGATCAACCTTAACTTTAAGATTTGTGCTCTTAGTTCAAAACTACTGGGATGTATCAGGAACGTTTAAAAACCAGAGGATTACCTTTCTACAACGGGTTTGGCGATGTGTTCGAAAATATCTTCTTGTTTGGCATGTTGGTCAAAAACCCTTTGAAACCTGGAAAATACAAAGAAACATATTTAGAGACAGAAGAATAGAAAACTAATTAAAATGAAGGCAAAGCTGAAAGTTGTTGAACTTCTCTAAAGGAAGAAGAGAGCTGAAGGTTTCACGTGTTGTTTGAACTCATCGTGTTTGAACCACACAAAGATGGGCGAGATGTGAGCAGAATCCACCCGAGGAAAGTTGTTAAATGTGGAAATGTTATTGCTATAAGGGCACCGGGGAACCTCCACACGCTATTATTACACTGTGTGGTTTCCAGAGGCGACCACTGCTTGCTGACTTTCTGTGAATTCGGAGCTTGGAAGCGTGACCCAGAGCGTATGAGGCTGCAGCCCTCATTACGAGCAGTAAGCAGATGTTCTGGCTCTCCATCCACAGGACTTGGAGACGCACTATTCAAGGGAAAAGGTCAAATATAACAGCAAGAGGTCAACTGAGCTCTGTCTTCATTTACTGGAGCTTCATACAGTAATGTCTTTAGGTGCAGAGGGGGAAACGCCTTTAAAGAGCAAGTCACCCCTGCCAGATTATTAATCCACTCCCACTGAAAAATGCAACAAATGCTGCTGCCTAGCAGACCGAGAGGGCGGAGCCGCTAACAAATACACACACACACAGGCTCACAACGACATTGTGACATCATACGGTACCAGCTAACGTTCTAGGGTACCTCTTAGCCAATAGCGGTGGCAGATTTAAATTCAAATGCAGTGCAGAGTTTTTACCTGACAACGGCACAACACTGACAGTTTTAGGCAGAAAATTTAAATTTTAACTAAAATGCACTAAAGTGCAAAACTATTGGCTACACGTGTCATGACTCCCATCCTTCACCCTCCTCTGCTTCCTCATTTTTCAGCCTTCATTCAGCTCACCTGGTCCCCTCACCAAGCTCCTGACAAGCCCTGTTTCCCTGGCAACCACCTTCAACTCCATTCATCTCACCTGTTCCTGTAATCAGCTTCATCCACTTCACCTGCTCCTGACTCCTCAGCTCATCTCACACACCTGCTTCCTCTGCTATAAAAGAACCATCCTTCTATCCAGTCTCTGCCAGATTATTGAAAACATTTGCCAGTAAATTCTCCAGCACTCCAACCTCTGCCTGTACCATAGATCCTGACCTTGTTTCTGTTCCTTGACCAACCCAAGTGCCTGCTCCCTGCCTGGATTGTTTTCTCTGCCTCTGACTACCGGGATTCTCTACCTCAGCCCATTCTCTGGATTCTGCCTCCTGCCTGCTTATTGTAGCATACGTGGATCTATCTGGTTTTGACCCTCGCCTCCTCTCCTTCTCTGTCTCCAGCCTCGCCCACCTGGTAACTCCACAATAAATAAAAGATTACGGGTCTTGAGTTCTGTTCGTGACTACACGTGTCTGCAGCACGATTAGACACACATTTATATAGTTAATCAGGAAAAAAAAAAGTAGATTTGGGGGTGCCTTGCTCTTTACTCCGGAACTGCGCTGCTCTGGGTGGCTGCATGTTGGAGTAGCTCTGTTGACTATATGTAAGTTTTGCCTTTTCTTGGGCATTTTTTCTTCTAGTTTCTCAAGAAAAACAATTTTTTTGGACACTTTACTTTTCTGTTTCTGGTGCTGTGAAGCTTGGAGGATTTTTACTGCTATTTTTTAGCTTTTTTCACTTTTTGAGCATTTGTTATGATGTGTAACCATGGCAACAAGCTGGTTTACAATCGGGAGCAGCTGATTAACATTGGAAAGGCTGAAATAATCTCAACTGAAGCCACAAATCCCAAATGAGCTCAAACGCAAGAAGCGTGGGTGCAGAGCGGGAGCAAAACGGAGACAGAAAGAGGAAATTCAAACCATCTCTTCCATCGATCATAACGGGCGATGTGAGATCACTGGCCAACAAGATGGAGGAACTCCAAGCCCTTTCAAGGACTCAGCCAGAGTTTCAGCAGTTTGGGAACTGCTGGAGGAGATAATGCAAAGAAGGATTCTCCAGAGAATCAAGACAACGATGGACAACCCTGAGCATTCTCTTCACAAGACTGTCCGACAACGGAAGAGTGTCTTCAGTCAGAGGCTTCTTCAGTTTGGCTGCAACACTGACCGCTACTGGAGATCCTTCCTGCCAACAGCCATTGTAATATACAACAACTCTTTGATGACTTGATTATTATTATTATTCTGAGCTACTACAGCAATAAATTTCCCTCTGGGATTAATAAAGTATTTTTTAATTGAATTGAAGTAATTAAGATTTCTACTCTATAACAAAAACACATCAGATGAATAAATAGATACATCTTTTTTTTACTTTAGCTTCTATTACCAAGATTTAAAGACTTCACAAAGTAATTCAATTCAAAAATACTTTATAAATCCCAGAGGGAAATTGATTATTAAAGTGTTGCCATGGTTACGCATCATAACAAATGCTCAAAAAGTGAAAAAATAGCAGTAAAAATCCTCTAAGCTTCACAGCACCAGAAACGGAAAAGTAAAGTGTCCAAAAACTACTGTTTTTCTTGAGAAACGAGAAGAAAAAATGTCCAAAAAAGGCAAAGCTTACAACAGAGCTACTCCAACATGCAGCCACCCAGAGCAGCGCAGTTCCAGAGCGTTACAGTTACAGTTATCCTCGCCGTTACACACAACTTCAAACTCTGCTCCATTCACTTAGTAAGAAAGCTCAAGTTTTGTTACTTTCAAAAGACAACTGAAACTGTGGCTACAGGAAACTCAAAGATGCAATCATAGATGATACTTTTATTTGTTTTTACTGTTGTCTTTTCGTAAAATATGTTCCTAACAGTTTTTTTATGTACATTGTTGTCTGTTTTATCTCTTTTAACATTAACCTGCCAGAGGACTGCAGATGGAAATTAGCCCAAGGCTACAATCTGGTATATTTACAGTTGTATTGCTGTTCATTAATGTGCATTGTCCTCTCTTTAAATAAAGAAATAAAAAAATTAATTAAAAAAAGAATTTTTTTTTTAAAAATAAGCAAAGGAAAATAGATTTTTGTTACATACATTCAGTGGAGAATCTACCTGAACCTGTAGCTCTCCCTCTTGTTGTTAACAAAGCCATCCGCCAGGTCACGAGGTACCACAAACTGCAGAGAAGCACCTGTCTTCTCATGATTGTCAAAAGAGTACACCTGAAGGAGACAGAGGCAGCAGAAAACTCTGAAGGACAGCAGGCAAAGCTGGAAACTAGTAGCAGAACATTTACCATGAAATAGTATTTAGGGACAAGTGCACAAATAAACATCCAAGTCCAGCGTTGAAAGAGTGCTCTACTATATATTTTCTCCTTACTGTGTGTGGAGATATACATGCAGCCTGACCCTAACATGGACAAAGTCAATGCATCATGTTAGGTTTAAAACATAGGTTTGGACACTTGTGGTTTGGGTGCTGCAAAGCCCTGAGAAAATGAAAAGATGGAGTTTATGGAGCACATATCATGTGGAAAGCAATAGAGCTGAAGATGCAATCAAGATCAGCACACAGAGCTCTGCAGATTCAAAGCAAAGCCAGACCTCGGGGGAGGCCAGGGGAATTGTAGAACATCAAACTGATATCGAATGAACTCTAGCACCAGAGGACATTTAAAGTGAGGTTAGCTGAAGCAGACTAAACACCCCCCTCTGCTTTTGAGCATCCACATATGTCCTGGCATATGTTTCCAATGGACACTGATGTAATTATAGGTCCCCAGGGCTGCAGGAATAAAAGATGAGACCTAAATGATTAGACTGGTTTTCCACTGTCACCCTGTTTGCTGTGTTGACCATCACATGGTTTTTGTTTGTTCCACAGACGTGTGCCAAACCTTTAAATGCCCCAAGGAGAGAATTGTGCTCATTTTATTGCAATGGTTATTGTCAAGTAACACTAAACGCCACAGAAGCAGTTACAGGATTCTTTCCATACGGTTTTAAAAAATGATTCGGTGAGATGAAAACGCATTTCCAGAGTTGCTTCAGGTGAGAAATTTATATGTATATAAAGATAAAAATAGCACATATAGTAATTTTATATCACACACGTGTGTGTGTGTGTGTGTGCGCACGTGTGTGAAATGCAATTCGAAAGAGAAGCTAAATGGGCAAAACTGAAGATAGTGTATGGCAGTAGACTTGTTTTCAAAGTAAAACATACATAAAATGACAAGTTATAACAAGAAAACTATCTAAAACACGGCATTCTTTCGGGTGTGCCTGCTCCAAAGGCCCTGGAAGTCTTTTGTAAATACTCACCTGAGTGATTTATACACACGTTTCATGGAAGAGAGCCACGTGATTAAAGTTAGAAGTGACAGGTAAGAATTGCAAAATCTGTTTTCAGTAATAAAGTTGTCTGCTGAGGGCGAAATTAGGTGCTTTGAGAAGCTTAATCCTGTTATTTTTCTTTTACATTGAAATGCTCTAAAATGTCTAAACGTTTTAGTAACAATAAATGAAGTAAATTGTTCTGAGTAGCCTTTTTGCTAAATAAACTCCATCATGTTATTTTCCTTTTTTTAGTCCATGGGTGGAACTAAATATCGCTAATTCCCCACTTACCGCTAGAGTTTTGTCTGTGGGTTTAATGCGACCGAATATCTGTATCGTGTGTTTCACCATTTTTCGTCTAAAAATTAACTTTTCAGTCGGTCTTCGTGTTAGCTTCTAGGCTAATTAACGTCTGCGCCGAGCTAGCTGGCCGAGGTTTGTTGTACCTGGTTGCTAGGTGACGGCGCCCTCCTCAAAGATGGTCTATTAAGCTGAAGATGGTTACTCGGTTTAGTAATACGGTTTAGGTGCAGGCAGTAAACGGAATCCACATCGTGACACCCCGATGAAAAATCATGTACTCCATATTTATGTCTCAGCTCATAACTGTGGGTTAGCTAAGTTATAATGATGAAATAGGAGATTATTTTCAGCAGAACGGCAGAAATATCCTCGTAGCCTAAGTCTCGCCCATCTACTTCCGGCCCATGGGTCTCCTGCTGCCCAAAATAAAAATGAATGGGAGTCTATGGAGTTCTTGCCATGGATTTGACATGTGATGTCCAAGAATGTTAAAGACACACTTTGATGCCAAGAAAGCGCGTATTTTCGTCGGGTCTTTACAACTTTTTACCAGCAAACGAATCTCAGGACAGAAATAGTCAAAACACACTAATTATTTATTATTTAAATTTATGTTCAACACGTGTGATTCAGGGGGCGTAAGGAAAAGCGGACCAGAAAATCACCTTTATAGCGCCGCTTTTTTTTAATTTTTTCATCCAGGGCACCCAAGCGCCAACTGGAAGGGGAGGAGACTAAAAGGCTTCTATGGACGCCCATTTCTGCCTCTTTGATGAGAAAACAAACATAACTCATCTCAGGGGCTGCATCTTTCTGAGTTCGCATTTTAAGGCCCAATCGAGTCACAGCACAGCGTAAAGCTTTCCAAATTTGAATGATACACCAAATATGTTCTTGATGGGTCTGGTGTGTCCTCACTGGCAAAGACTATCCCAGGATTTGTATCTGGAAGGTGGAGGGGATGACAGTTTTATATGTTAGTATATTAATATCTGGCAGTAAAAACATAACAAAATACTAAATTGGTTGTGTTGGGCGTATAAAATTAGCATTTAGCTTTTTTTGTCATAACTAATAAGAAACTATTTCAGAAACAAGTTCATATTGTAGGTACTGTCTTTCTGTGATAACTAAGTCAGAATTATGAGACACATGATTTCTGTTTTCATCAGAGTGGTAGAAATGGGCTTCCATACCATACAAGTATCCTCGTATTATATTTGTGCAAATACGTGTTTATTGGACCCATTACTGACAAACCAATCTCTAATTTGATTAAATCAGCAAGTGCTAACACAATGGGGAAGTGATTAAAGAGAAAGACAAGAAAATATATTTAGTCACAAATTTGCTTCCAGTATTCTAAATTTAACTCACTACTTTAACGGTTTGGTGAGACATTTAAACCCAGAAATGTAATGCTTTATATTACAAACCTGAGTAGAAATTTTCATTAGAAAAAGGCAAAAAGGTTGCTCAGCCAAGTGAAAATACCAAGCTGTGTGTAATCAGAATTAGGAGGGAAAATGCTAAAATAAGAAGAAAAAACGTAAGGCAGACGTGTATAGTTCCTTGTGATGCATTTATTTTTCCTTAAAGTGACAGTGTGTAGGCGATAGGGGGCAGTAGATACCTAAATCAATGCAAGCAAGCATTATTTTTGTGTTCAAGTAAGACCTTACCAACGGAAGGCCATTAGGGTCAAAAATCCCTGGGAGCTCAACCTCCAGCAAAATGACAAGAACATCAGATTCCCTTTCATCACTGGCAACGATTGAAGAGATAAACGTGTAATACAACATGTTTATTATTGCTGAGCATTTTGTAACCATTTGTTACAAATCCTTAAAGGTGTTTTGTCCTCACGGGCTCCCGTAGAAGGAAACAAGGCATCCAATATGGCGTCGCCCAGAGAACGAGACCCGCTCCATGTATTTTGGACCTGATTTTTATGGTTATGTGTTTATGTTTACGTATTTAGCAGACGCTTTTGTCCAAAGCAACTTACAAGCGATAATGGGCATGTTGCCCTTGAGGCTAACAACAACAACAACAACTTGACATCAATCATGGAGAGGAGGGAACAAGGAGTGGGCAGTAGAGAGAGGGCTTTATATGTTACAAAACTACCAATATTTTTCAACAACTGGGCATTTTTAATTCATGTACAACATTTTGATGGATATTTCCATAGATTAATGGTAAAAACGACACATTGTGACTTTAAAGAAAAGTCTTGTTTGTTCAAGAGGTCACCACAGTTCAGTGACTCACTCGTATTGACAAAGGTATTTTCTGCTCTGCAGGCACTCCCCACGTTTTAAATGAAGTCATGCAAAATGCAGCAACCACACCTTCCTTGAATTGGAAGAGTTTATGAGTATTTAGAGATATAAACAAAACCAAAGCAACACCCTATGTTTCCAAAGATAAACCTCTCATATCAACAAGAAAACATTACATTAAAGGAGCCTTTCACTTCAAACCCATTTCCCCAGCGCACATGCCCAATTTCTCCCCATCCATTTGGGAATTATCCACAATAATTTTTGTTTAATAATTCATAAATTTTTCTTCATTTACTTTCATCATCAAAGATTCTTCACTGATGTAAAGATTTGTTAAAATGCTCAGACAAATGCTGACCAAATACTTGGACATATTTCTTATTTGTGCTCATTTTGAGGGGAAATCAATTATAGTTTCCTTTTGGAAAACTGCCCAACATTTTCCAACGGGATCTGCGTTCCACTTCCTGTAATAAAGAACAATGGATGTGTGAAAAAGCAGATTATTTTCTGTGAAAGAGGCGTAGAGCGGATGAATTCAGCAACAACATACCTCGTGTTTGGAAGGTGGTGGTTGCGGCTCTGATCATGTTTCCAGTTTCCCTCTGAACGTGCGCCATTCCCATCATGCCTGCCAAGTCAGTGACCCTCGAGGTACAGAAGAACGAGTCAGTGTGATGGGGTCAGATCGTCCTAACGACTTATTCCAGTGAAGGCCGTGTGGGACCACAAACACCCATTCATTGTTGTTGATTCTTGTTTGTGTTCCTGCTGAATAGAAGATTTGTTTCTATAGCTTAGAAAAATGGTGAAATTCCTTGGATAAACGCAACGATTGCTTGGTCATTCATGAGAATTTTGAAATGCGATACCATCAGACAGTCGAGTGAGCATTCCCCAAACATAAACATTTGGAAAATCTGTGTTGCACAACAGACGAGTTTTACTGTTTACGTGAAAAACACGAACCAAACGCCACCAGTCAGTCATCCGGCTCACACAGCTGTCCAGCCGGTGCTACAGGGCCATGCATGAAAGAGCAAAAAGCTGTGTTTGCAGAAGCCTGAAACCTGCGAGGCAGCTTCAAAGGAGTGACTCGGCTTACGCGGCTAATTTTAGCAGCAACTGGAGGTCTGCTGTTCATCTGGAGCACAAAACACTAATCAGAAATATCCTGCAGCCGCCCAGAAAGATCCACGAATACCACACCGACAATATCAGCAGCGTTTTCTCCCTTTGAACCATCTGTTTGTGATCTTTATCAATATCTTTAGAGGACATCAGACAGAGTCACCGACGCCGTCCAGACACCCGTTCCGCCTCCCGTTTGTCTCAAGAATAACGAGGTTCATCATCAGGACAAATGAACAACACCTTTCAGCAGAGAGCTTGTGTGAGTGTACAGACGACTTGACATGATATCAAGTCTGTGGAAACTGGTGTTCCCTGAAGGAAGCAGCCTCTTTCTTACAAAAGCATCTAAAATGAAATTGGTTTTCTTCACAGAGAGGTGGTGCAGTAAACACCGGCCCAAAGCTGGATCGGGCCTCTCAGGGAACTGTAAACTCCTCTTTAATATCCTGTTTTGGTCTGTGTGTTATCGTGAGCTTAAAGGGGCATTATGGAAGTGTGACAGCCAAAACATGTATAGAAATAATAAATGTCTTCTTCATACATTCTCCTGCAATGCCCTGGTCCTGTAGAATGAGCCCTGGCATTTTTACTGTGATTGCCTGTTTTTCTGTAAAATCACAGAAAAAGAGAGATGCTCGGGTCGAGCAGGCTGCTTCATGCGCGTTCACGCTCAGGCATAGCCCGTAGCATTTGCTATCCGTAGCTTTAGCAGCAGAGAGAGAGGCAGTGCCACTTTGTCGCTGTTCCTAACGCCTAGTGACAAAGCTAGCTACATTTCTGAGGACCCTTAGCTACTTTCTGTAGAACTTTCTTCTAGATATTTCCTGCTAATTAGCAACAAAACAGCCATTTTCACTCCGAACCGTTCTTTGGTTTGACGTTGTTTCAGCTGTCATCAAGGATATAAATGTTACAGGTGGGTAGCTCACCTAGTAAGATGTCTGACTCTCGTGCAGAAGTCCTGGGTTTGATTCTGGATGTGAACAAAGTTTATTTAGAGTTTCTTTTTTACGTTAATGGTATTTTTTTTTACAGGAAGATGTCCAAATTTTTATCTGAGACTCGCCGAACGACATTGAATTCACAGATAAAAAAGATGTGGGTTCAACTTTCATTTTGGAACAATTTTTCAAGCAAGGGAAGGGAATGATCTGAGCATGCAGGAGGACTGACCCATCTTAAACCTTTGTCGCTGTGCTGAAGAGAAAGGTACAGAACCACATTATTTAATTAATTAGCTGCATGTTCTCCTGTCCTCTGTCCTCCGGGCCACACACACACACACACACACACACACACACACACACACACACACACACACACACACACACACACACACACACACATACACGGGGGACTGTCTCAGCTGTTATTATTTTCGTTAAGGAGTGTGCACGTACAGCATACGCGCCTCGTGCACGAGCCTACTATTGAAGCTGCTGTTATGCTTTTGGCCTGAGGGGGCGATCGCGAGCATAAAAATTCAAAACTCCGTAAAGTCCCTTTAAGCTGGCATCGTTGTGGTTTCGTCCCAAAGTGACCACCGCTTGAGTTTGATTCTTGTCTTTGCACTCGGCTCCTATGAAACACAGCTTTACATGCATGTATGCCCAGTTTCTCTTGAAGAAGTTTCCAGAACTTGTATCAATAATTTCCCACAATCCTGATGCTATGTTTTTCACTTTTGTATTTCCAATTTCCTGTGATAA